GGTGGAGTAATGGGAAGAAGGAGGACAGATGGAGGAAGGAGGATGGATGCAGGATGGATGGATGGAAGGGTTGGAATGAGGATAGATGGGTGAAGGATGGATGGTGGAGGGAGGGAGAGAAGATGGATGGGTGGATGGATGGGTGGATGGATGGATGGATGGATGGATGGATGGATGGATGGATGGATGGATGGATGGATGGATGGGTGGATCGATGGATGGACGGATGGATGGATGGATGCATGGGTGGATGGATGGATGGATGGATGGATGGATGGATGGATGGATGGATGGATGGATGGATGGATGGATGGATGGATGGATGGGTGGAGGACTGATGAAGGACAGATAGCTGATGGTTAGGGCACATGGAGAACAGACGGAGTATGGATGGATGATGGATGGAGAATGGTTGGATGGATGGATGGATGGATGGAGTGTGGATGGAGAGATGGTCGGATGGACAGAAGATGGAGGAAGGACACAAAGGTGCACGGAGGGTAGGCTGGGCCAGCCTGGCCGGGCTGCTGGGACGCAGGCAGGCATTGGGCTGCCCTGACGGCCATGGGCAGGACTTCCTGTCGGACATGGCCATGACGGAGGTGGATCGCTTCATGGACCGGGAGCACCTGATCTTCCGGGAAAACACCCTCGCCACGAAAGCCATAGAGGAGTACCTGAAACTCATCGGCCAGAAATACCTCAAGGATGCCATTGGTGAGTTCCACCAGCACTGGGGGGGTTCCTGGCACGGCCACGGGTCCCCGTCATGGCCAGGGCCCCATCAGCATGGCTGTGGGACGGTGGGTGGTGCCCACACATGGTCACGCCCCCATCGACGTGGCCATGGGATGGTTGGGTGGTCCCTTCTCATGGACATGTCCCCATTAGGGTACAATTGGGTGGTCCCTGCTCCCTGCTTATAGCCAGGTCCTCATGGAGATGGCCATGGGATGTTGGGTGGTCCCTTGTCGTGGCCATGGGACAGTTAGGTGGTCCCCTCTCATGGCTGTGTCCCCATTCTTCTGGTCGTGAGATAGTTGGGTGGTCCCTCCTTATGATCATGTCCCCGTTGGTGTGGCCAGGGGATGGCTGGGTGGGTCCTTCTCATGGTCATGTCCCCATCGGGCTGGCTTGGCTGTGGGACAGCGGGGTGGTCCTTGGTCCCCTCTGACGTCCCCGTCCCCCCCCAGGCGAGTTCATCCGGGCGCTGTACGAGTCAGAGGAGAACTGCGAGGTCGACCCCATGAAGTGCTCGGCCTCCACCTTGGCCGACCACCAGGCCAACCTCCGCATGTGCTGTGAGCTCGCCCTCTGCAAGGTGGTCAACTCGCACTGGTGAGTCCTCGAGGCTGGGGACATCCCCCGGTGTCCCCACCGCTGGTCCCTGACTCTGTGTGTCGTGTCCCCCCCCTGGCAGCGTGTTCCCACGGGAGCTGAAGGAGGTCTTCGCCTCGTGGCGGCTGCGATGTGCCGAGCGGGGCCGCGAGGACATCGCCGACCGGTTGATCAGCGCCTCGCTCTTCCTGCGGTTCCTCTGCCCCGCCGTGATGTCCCCCAGCCTCTTCGGCCTCATGCAGGAGTACCCCGACGAGCAGACCGCCCGCACCCTCACCCTCATCGCCAAGGTCATCCAGAACCTGGCCAACTTCACCAAGTGAGCGCCCAGCGTAGAGGAGGGAGAGGTGGTGGTGGGTGATGGTGGTCAGGTGGAGGGAGGGAGGAGGGGTTGGGGGGGGACACAGGTGGGTGGGGAGGGGAATGGAGGGATGGTGGAGGGAAGGTGAATCCGTAGATCTATGGGTGGATGGATGGGTGGATTCCTGGGTGGACTGAGAGTAGATGGTTGGGTGAGTTGATGGATGGACGGAAGATGGATAGATGGATAGAAGGTGGGTGGGTGGGAGATGGACGGATGAGTTGAGAGCTGGATGGGCTGGAAGGAAGATGGACAGATGGAGATAAGATAGACGGGTGAACTGATAGATGGTGGGTGTAAGATGGGCAGATGAGTTGATGGATGAAGGTCAGAAGATGAGTGGATGAGCTGAATGGACAAAAAATAGAAAATGGGCAGCAGATAGCTGGAAGATGGATGGATGGACAGAAGATGGATGGATGAGTGGAGGGATGGGCAGAAGATGGAGGGATGAGTAGGTGGATGGACAGAAGATGGATAGATAGAAAATGGATGGATGAGTTGGTGGATAGGTGAGTATAGAAGGCGGCCAGATGAACAGAAGATGGATGAGTTGATAGATGATGGGTGGAAAATGAGTGAGTTGAGCGGTGGGTGAGGTGGTGGATGGAGGGAAGATGGATGAACAGAAGATAGGTAGATGGATGGAAGGTGGGGGATGATTTGAGTGGACAAAATATGGACAGATGAGTTGGATAGATGAATCTGGTGGGCAGAGGGATGGATAGATTTACGGATGGATGGACGATGGATGGATGAAGGAAGGAGGGTGGACGGATGAGTTGGGCAGAAGGATGGATGGATTTCTGGACGGATGGAAGGAAGATGGATGAGTCGGTGGACAGATGGATGAAGAACAACCGGAGAGCAGAGCTGGCTGAAGGCCAGATGTGGCTTTATGAAGGGATTCCTGGAAGCTGGAGGGACAGAAGGGACAGAGGGTGGAGGGCCAGGCCGGTGGAGGGGACAACAGCCATTGGTGGAGGCCAGCGCAGACCCTGCCGAGCGCCTGCCTGCAGGTTTGGCAGCAAGGAGGAGTACATGGCCTTCATGAACGAGTTCCTGGAGCTGGAGTGGACCAGCATGCAGCAGTTCCTCTATGAGATCTCCAACCTGGACACCCTGACCAACAGCACCAGCTTCGAGGGCTACATCGACCTGGGCCGCGAGCTCTCCACCCTGCACGCCCTCCTCTGGGAGGTCATGTCCCAGCTCAGCAAGGTACCCCGCTCGCCTGGGACCCCCGTGGTGGTGGGGACACCTGATCCTCTCTGGGGTGGTGAGCAGAGGCCTGGATGTCAAGGTTCTCCTCAAGGGAGGTTTTGGCATCCTGGATGTCTGGGTGCCCCTGGAGGAGCATTTTGGGGTCCCACCTACCCCTGCCCCCCAGGAGGAGGTCACTGGGGTCCCATCCACCCTTGTCCCACCGTGGGAGATCAATGGGGTGCCAGACCTCCATGTTCCACCATGGAAGGTCTCATCCACCCGTGCCCTGCCAGGGAAGGTTACTGGGGTCCCATCCACCCCTGCCCCCAAAAGGGAGGTCGTCGGGGTCCCATCCACCCATGTCCTGCTGCGAGAGATCATCAGGGTCCCATCAAACTGTGCCCCCCCCCCCGGATGGTCCTTGGCATCCCAGCCCCCCATGATCCACCATGGGGGGTCATCGGGGCTCCATCCACCCCGTACCAGTGCTCACTGGGGTCCCTGCCCGCTGTGCCCCCCCAGGGGAGGTCACTGGGGTGCCGTGGGGTGGGGGTGCATAGCTGACCTGTCCCCCACCCCCAGGAGGCCCTGCTGAAGCTGGGCCCGCTGCCCCGGCTGCTGACGGACATCAGCGTGGCCCTGCGCAACCCCCACCTGCAGCGGCAGCCGAGCCAGGGGGAGCGGCTGCCCCCCAAGGGGCTGGTGCTGCGGGGGCCCTCGGCCGACCTCCAGCCCTACCTCGTCCGTGACCTCAACAGGTGAGGACCCCCACGAACTCCCCTGTGTCCCCCCCCGCACCCTCATGGTACCTCAGGGTCCTTGTGGTACCCCGCCACGTCGCTGTGGTACCTCCACATCCCGCCCCATGTCCTCATGGTGGCCCCCCAGGTCACCTCGGTGGCCCCGAGTCTCAGCTGGGGTGTCTCCCCCCGCTCCGTGGGGCCCCGTGGTGACCCATTCTCTGTCCCCACAGCTCCGTGGACCTCCAGTCCTACATGGTGCGGGGCCTCAACAGGTGGGTGACGGGGAGGGGGTGGGGAGAGGGATGGGGTGGGGACAGGGATGGGGTGGGGACGGAGATGGGGTGGGGACAGGGATGCGGTGGGGACAGGGATGGGATGGGGACAGGGATGGGGTGGGGACAGGGATGGGATGGGGACAGGGATGGGGTGGGGACAGGGATGGGGTGGGGACAGGGATGCGGTGGGGACAGATGGGATGGGGACAGGGATGGGGTGGGACCAGGGATGGGATGGGGACAGGGATGGGATGGGGACAGAGATGGGGTGGGGACAGGGATGGGGTGGGGACAGATGGGGTGGGGACAGGGATGGGATGGGGACAGGGATGGGATGGGGACAGGGATGGGGTGGGGACAGATGGGGTGGGGACAGGGATGCGGTGGGGACGGAGCAGGAGCTGGAGCCGAGGATGGGATGGGGATGACGTGGGGGGTTGAGACAGGGCTGGGGCTGGGGGTGGTGCTGGGATGGTGACGGGCCTGGAGCTGGGGCCAAAACGGGGTCGGGGAGGGGGCTGGGGCTGCGGCCGGAGGTCCTGTCCCCCCCCCCAACCCCCTGTCCCTCCCCTCCCCAAGCTCCATGGAGGTGCCGCGCCTGCCCTCCCCGCCGCAGGAGAAGGGGCCGCAGGAGGTGCTGGTCCTGAGCCGACCCCCCCTGGCCCGCTCCTCCCCTGCCTACTGCACCAGCAGCTCCGACCTGACGGAGCCCGAGGGGGGCCGGGGGGCTCTGGGGGTGGGCAAGAGCGTCTCCATGCTGGACCTCCAAGACGGCCGCGTTGACAGCGTCCCTAGTTTGCCCGCCGAGCTGCTCGCCGCCGGCGGTCCAGCCCCGGGGGGAGCCGGGGGGGGGCTGCGTCCCGGCCGCCTCTCGCAGGGCAGCGCCTCCAGCCTGGCCCCCCCTCGCCTGGGGGTACCCGAGCCGGGGGGGCCCCAATTGCGGGTCCCCCTCTCCTTCCAGAACCCTCTTTTTCATTTGGCGGCTGACGGACCCTTGCGAGGACCCGAGCCGGGGGGCGAGGGGCCCTTCGCCCCCCCCCTGCACGGGTACAGCAAGAGCGAGGAGCTGGCGGCGCCCCCCCAAAAACACATCACCCACAGCCACAGCTACAGCGACGAGTTCGCCCGGCCGGGGGGGGACTTTGGCCGACGGCAGCTCTCCCTGCAGGACAGCCTGGCCCCCCCCCAGATCACCATTGGGGCCCCCCCGCCCCCCACCCCTCGGGGGGCTCGGGCGGGGAAAGGTGGGGGGCCAGGGCCGGCGGCTCTGGGGGTGCCCCCCAAACCACGGCCGGCCAGCGGGAACTTGCTGGCATCCCCCGAACCGGCTTACGGACCCCCCCGGTCCCGGCAGCCCTCCCTGGCCAAGGAGGCGTCGGTGGCCGGGATGAAGCCACCGGTCACCAAGCAGGTGTGTCTGGGGGGGGGGGACACACACATGGGGACGTGGTGGGACACGGAGGGGGGACGGGGGGGGGACACACACACATGGGGACGTGGTGGGACACGGAGGGGGGACGGGGGGGCATGGTGGGGTTGGGGGACACGGAGGGGGGATGGGGGGGCATGGTGGGGTTGGGGGACACGGGGCATGGTGGGGTTGGGGGACACGGAGGGGGGACGGGGGGGCATGGTTGGGGGACACGGAGGGGATGTGGGTGATGTGGGGGACGTGGCGGCTGTGGGGCACGTGGCGGGGACGTGGGGGCGATGGTGGACATGGGGGGGGGGACATGAGGGATGTGGGAAACAGGAAGGATACAGGGGAGGTCGCGGGGGGTAAGGGAGGATGGGGACATGGTGGGGATGGAGGACACTGGGGGACGTGGGGAGTGTAGGGGGACCTGGGGGGGCGCGGAGAGACGGGGGAACGCGAGGGATGTGGGGCTGGAGGGACGTGGGGGGACTTTGTGGGGACACGCGGGACATGGGGACGTGGCAGCGGTGGGTGGACGTGGTAAGGTCACGGGTGGCCGTGGCGGGGGTGTGGGGCCCCAGGGTACTGTGGGGACATGCCGTGGGGACACGAAGGACCAAACCGGCCCCGGCGGCCCCCGGCGCCTGTCCCCACCCCCCCCTCGGCAGGCCTCGCAGACGCCGTCGACGCTGAACCCGGTGATGCCGGCGGCGGAGCGCACGGTGGCCTGGGTGTCCAACATGCCGCACCTCTCGGCCGACATCGAGAGCTCCCACATCGAGCGCGAGGAGTACAAGCTCAAGGAGTACTCCAAGTCCATGGACGAGAGCCGGCTGGACCGGGTAGGGACCACCGACGGCCCCAGGTGGCCCCCGGGGCTGGGGGGGGGGGGTGGGGGGGGGCAGGGGTCCTGGGAACCCAGGCATCCGGGCCCCAGGAGGTGACCCTGCTGGACCCAGGTCACAGGGAAGCAGGTCTCCAGGCGCCAGGAGATGACGCTGATGAACCCAGATCATGGGGACACAGGGGTCCAGGCCCCAGGAGGTGACCCTGATGGACCCAGGTCCTGGGGACCCCAGTGCCCAAGCCCCAGGAGGTGACCCTGCTGGACCCCAGGGCTGGGGACCCCAGTGTCCAAGCCCCAGGAGGTGACCCTGCTGGACCCCAGGGCTGGGGACCCCAGTGTCCAAGCCCCAGGAGGTGACCTTGGTGGACCCAGGTCCTGCACACCCAGGGATCCAGGACCAGGAGGAGTTGACCCTGATGGACCCAGGTGTCCAAGCCCCAGGAGGTGACCCTGATGGACCCAGGTCCTGGGGACCCCAGTGTCAAAGCCCCAGGAGGTGACCCTGATGGACCCCAGGGCTGGGGACCCCAGTGTCAAAGCCCCAGGAGGTGACCCTGCTGGACCCAGGTCACGGGGAAGCAGGTCTCCAGGCGCCAGGAGATGACGCTGATGAACCCAGATCATGGGGACACAGGGGTCCAGGCCCCAGGAGGTGACCCTGATGGACCCAGGTCCTGGGGACCCCAGTGCCCAAGCCCCAGGAGGTGACCCTGCTGGACCCCAGGGCTGGGGACCCAAGTGCCCAAGCCCCAGGAGATGACCTTGGTGGACCCAGGTCTTGCAGACCCAGGTGTCCAGGCCCCAGGAGGTGACCCTGACAAAATTGGTCCTGTGGGCCAGGGTGGATCACTTGTGGTGGAAACCAAGGTGTCGAGGCATCATTTTAGGGGGGACCCAGGTGTCCAGGTGTCACCACGGGCGGCCCCGGGTGTTTGGGCACCACCTTGGTGGAGATCAAGGTGTCCGGTCACGCCCACGGTGGTGACCCATATGTTTGGGTGCCACCACGGCGGTGACCCGAGCGTTTGGGCGTCCCCGTTGGGGAGGACCGGGGCTTGAGAGCGTGGTGGGGTTGGGGAGGTGCCCCCAGCGCCCTGCAGTGTGGGCTGTGGCAGGTGAAGGAGTACGAGGAGGAGATCCACTCGCTGAAGGAGCGGCTGCACATGTCCAACCGCAAGCTGGAGGAGTACGAGCGGCGCCTGGTGTCGCAGGAGGAGCAGACGAGCCGCATCCTGCTGCAGTACCAGCACCGCCTGGAGCAGAGCGAGAAGCGCCTGCGGCAGCAGCAGGCGGAGAAGGACTCCCAGATCAAGAGCATCATCGGCAGGTGAGGGAGGGACCCGGCCCCGGGGACAGCGAGGGGACACCGGGGACGCTGGGGGGGGGCTGGGGAGGGAGGGGGGGGGGCGGTGGGAATTGGGGGACGTGGAGGGACGTGGGGACGCAGGAGGAGGGGAGGGACGCAGAGGAACATGGACGATGTGGGGACGGGGAAGAAGTTGGAGGACACGGAGGGACATGGGGGGGCACAGGAGGACGTGGGGACACAGGGACACAGAAGGACTTGGAGGCAGTAGGTGGACATGGGGACACAGAGGGGTGTGGGGACAGAGGGACATGGGGACACAGAGGGGTGTGGGGACAGAGGGACATGGGGACGCAGAGGGACGTGGGGACAGAGGGACATGGGGACACAGAGGGACGTGGGGACAGAGAGTGGGACATGGAGGGGATGGGGATGCAGAGGGACATGGGGACACAGAGGGGTGTGGGGACAGACAGGGATGTGGGGACAGAGAGGGACATGGGGACACAGAATGGCTTGGAGGCAGTAGATGGACATGTGGACATAGAGGGGTGTGGGGACAGAGAGGGACGTGGGGACACAGAGGGACATGGGGACACAGAGGGGTGTGGGGACAGAGGGACATGGAGGATATGGGGACAGAGAGTGACATGGGGACACAGACGTGGGGACACAAAGGGACATGGGGACACAGAAGGACTTGGAAGCAGTAGATGGACATGGGGACAGAGAGGGACATGGGGACAGAGAGGGACGTGGAGACATGGACGTGGGGACACGGACGTGGGGACACAGAAGGACTTGGAGGCAGTAGATGGACATGGAGGATCTGGGGACATGGGGACAGAGAGGGACATGGGGACAGAGAGGGATGTGGAGACATGGATGTGGGGACACGGACGTGGGGACACAGAGGAACGTGGGGACACAGAAGGACTTGGAGGCAGTAGATGGACATGGAGGATCTGGGGACATGGGGACAGAGAGGGACATGGAGACTACAGGGACACAGGGACATGGGGGACAAGGGGACATAGCAGGACATGGGGACACAGAGGGACATGGGGGGTGTCCCCTCGTGTCCCTGCGTGTCCCCGGGTCGTCCCTGTCATGTCCCTTGGGTGTCCCTGGGGGGTGGCAGTGTGACCCTGGGGTGTCCCTGCCATGTCACTGGTGTGTCCCCACATGTCCTTGGGGTGAGTGGCAGCGGGTCCCTGGGGAGGGGGGCGGGAGGGGGTGTGTGTGTGTGTCCCTAGGGCTTGTCCCCAGGGGTGGCAGCATGTCCCTAGCGTGGGTGTCCCCATCCCCATGGTGTCCCTCGGGTGGGAGCGTGTCCCCTGTGACCTGGGGCTCTCCCCGGGGTGTCCCTGGGGGTCCTTGGGGGTGGCAGCACCTACCCGTGTCCCTGGGTGTCACGAGGTGTCCCCGGGGGCTGTCCCCAAGGCTCTGGGTGTCCCTTGGGTTGGCAGCGTGTCCCGGGGGGGGGGGGGAGGGTCCTTGGGGTGTCCCCATGACCCGGGGTGACCCTGGGGGATGTCCCCTTGTTCCTCGGGTGTCCCTGGAGTGTCCCTGGCTGTCCCCGGGGGTGGCAGTGTGTCCCCAGGGGGGGTCCCCAGGGGTGTCCCCATGACCCAATGTATGTCTGAGGGTGTTCCCATCACCCGGGATGTCCCCGGGGTGTCCCCAGAGTGTCCCTGGGGGTGTCCCCGTGGCCTGCATGAAGCCTGGCCCCAGGAGGGGTGTCCCCATGGGGGAGGGGGTGTCTCCGGGGGGGGGGGGTGGCAGTGTGTCCCCAGGGTGTCCCCCCACAACCCAAGGTGTCCCGGAGGGTGCCCCCAAGACCCTGATGAAGCCTGGCCCTGGGGAGGGTGTCCCCTGGGGGGTGTCCCTGTCACCCGGGGTGTCCCCAAGGGGTGTCCCCGGGGGGGTGGCAGCGTGACCCTGGTGCAGCCTGGTCCCAAGGCGGGGGGGAGCAGCTCGGGGGGGGGGGGTGATGTGTCTCCCTTTGACCTGGGTTGTCCCAAGGGTGTCCTTCTGTCCTTGGGTGTCCCCGGGGGTGTCAGTGTGTCCCCCACAACCCGAGGTGTCCCGGGGGGGGGTGTGTGTGGCAGCGTGTCCCCGGGGAGGAGCCGGGGGGGGGGGGGGATGTGTCCCTGAGGTTGCACCCCCCCGCCATAACCCTGACGAAACCTGACCCCCCCCGGGGAGGGTGTCCCCAAGGGGGGCGTCCCCGGGGGTGGCAGCGGGACCCCGGGGGGTGTCCCCGTGTCCCCGGGGTGCCCCCCCGGGGGTGGCAGCGTGACCCCGGTGAAGCCTGGCCCCGCAGGCTGATGCTGGTGGAGCAGGAGCTGCGCAGGGATCACTTGGGCGCCCACGACCCCCCCGAGGGCCGGCGGCGGCTGCTCGACGCTCAGGTGGAAATTACAATGTCATTGCTCTGCTCCGTGTGACATCGGCCATCCCACGCCGCGCTGGGGGCGGGGCCCCGGGGGGGGTTCTGGGGGCACCCATGGGTGGGGGTGCGGGTAGCCCTAGGGGGGGTTACGGGCGCCTCCGGGGGGGGGGTATGGGCACCCCTAGTAGGGTGTTTGGGCATCGCTGGGGGGGTTGTGGGTACCCAAAAAAAGGGCCTGGGCACCCTTGGGGGGGGGGCGGGTGGGGGCACCCATGGGTGGGGGTGTGGGCACCCCAAAGGGGGTGGGGTACTGGGGGTCTGTGGGCACCCATGGGGGGTGATGTGGGCACCCGGCGCAGGTTATTGGGACCCTAAGAGGGACATGGGCACCCCTGGGGGGGGTGATTGGCATGGGGGGGGGGGTGGGCACCTCTTGTGGGGGGATATCAGTGGTCTAGGGGCACCCCGGGGGGGTTTGGCAGCCCTGGGAGGGGGGTACTGGCGGGTTATGGGCACTTCTGGGGGGGGCTATGGGCAGCCCGGGGCGGGTATAAATATCCGGGGGGGGGGTATTGGCACCCATCAGGGGGATGTTGGGGGGGGGTATTGGCACCCCTGGGGGGGTATTGTCACTCCTCACGGGGGGGGGGGGTTGGTGACCTACGGGGGGGTCATGGTCACCTATGGGGGATGTAGGGGGACAGGGCCGTCCCTAGAGGGGATGGGGATGCCTGGGGGGGGGGACATGGTGGCCCCTGGGGGGATATGGTCACCTGTGGGGGGGACACCTTGGGGACCCTGGGGAAGGGGGGGGGGGACATGGGGACCCATAGTGGGAGGTGGGGGGGACAGGGCCACCCGTGGGAGGAATATGGGGGGGACCCCTGGGGTGGATACAGTCACCCCTGGGGGGGACATAAGGACCCCAGGGGGGGACACAGCCACCCCTTGGGGGGGACAGGGCCACCCCCAGTGGGGACAGGGACTCCCCCCCGGGGGGACCTGGTGACCCCCAGGGGGATGGGGGGGGGGGGGGCCACCACCAAGGGGGACAGGGTCACTCCTGGGGGGACATGGTCACCTCTGGGAGGGGACAGGGCCACCCCTGGGGGGACAAAGTGACCCCCCCCAGCGGTGACAGGACCACCCCAGGGGGGACAAAATGACCCCCCCGGGAAGCACAGGGCCATCCTCAGTGGGGACAGGGCCACCCCTGGGGGGACACAGTCACCCCCAGGGGTGACAGGGCCACCTTCAGGGAGGACACCAGAAGGACACGGGGGGGGGTGTGACATAGCCACAAGCCCCCCCCCCCCCCCAGCCTAGGGACAGGGCCACCAACGTGTCCCCAAGGCCACCTTCCCCCCACCTAAGTGACGGAGCCGGTGCCGGACCCCCTCCTTGGGTTGGGGTCACCCCCCCAGCCACCTCAGGGCCACCACCCCCCGCCCCCCCAAGGCCACCAGCGGGACACAGTGTGTCCCCGAGTCTCCCCCCCCAGCACCCCCATCTCCCCCCGTGGGGACGAGCGTGTCCCCCCGCGGTGGCCCTGACCCCCGTGTCTCTCTTCATCCTAGCTGTCCGTCAGGTAGCGCGGGCCAGCCCTGCCTTTGTCACGGGACCCTCGGCCTCCGGTGACACGCCAGGTGGGTCCTCCCGTCCCCGTCCCTGTCCCCGTCCCCCCTCCCCTTAGGTAGCGCCCAGGGGACATTGAGGAACCCTTGGGGACACAGTGCTGGAGTGTCCCCCCATTATCCTTCTGTGCTCCCATGTCCCTCAGGGACACTGGGAACCCTTGGGGACAAGGATCCAGGATGTCCCTATGTCCCTTTAGTGTCCCTCAGGGACACTGGGAACCCTTGGGGACAAGGATCCAGGATGTCCCCAAGACCTTCTTGTGTCCCCATGTCCCTCAGGGACACTGGGAACCCTTGGGGACAAGGATCCAGGATGTCCCTATGTCCCTTTAGTGTCCCTCAGGGACACTGGGAACCCTTGGGGACAAGGATCCAGGATGTCCCCAAGACCTTCTTGTGTCCCCATGTCCCTCAGGGACACTGGGAACCCTTGGGGACAAGGATCCAGGATGTCCCCAAGACCTTCTTGTGTCCCCATGTCCCTCAGGGACACTGGGAACCCTTGGGGACAAGGATCCAGGGTGTCCCTATGTCCCTTTAGTGTCCCTCAGGGGCACTGGGAACCCTTGGGGACATGGATCCAGGATGTCCCCAAGACCTTCTTGTGTCCCCATGTCCCACAGGGACACTGGGAACCCTTGGGGACAAGGATCCAGGATGTCCCTATGTCCCTTTAGTGTCCCTCAGGGACACTGGGAACCCTTGGGGACATGGATCCAGGATGTCCCCAAGACCTTCTTGTGTCCCCATGTCCCTCAGGGACACTGGGAACCCTTGGGGACAAGGATCCAGGATGTCCCCAAGACCTTCTTGTGTCCCCATGTCCCTCAGGGACACTGGGAACCCTTGGGGACAAGGATCCAGGGTGTCCCTATGTCCCTTTAGTGTCCCTCAGAGACACTGGGAACCCTTGGGGACAAGGATCCAGGATGTCCCCAAGACCTTCTTGTGTCCCCATGTCCCTCAGGGACACTGGGAACCCTTGGGGACAAGGATCCAGGATGTCCCCAAGACCTTCTTGTGTCCCCATGTCCCTCAGGGACACTGGGAACCCTTGGGGACAAGGATCCAGGATGTCCCCAAGACCTTCTTGTGTCCCCGTGTCCCTCAGGGACACTGGGAACCCTTGGGGACAAGGATCCAGGATGTCCCCAAGACCTTCTTGTGTCCCCGTGTCCCTCAGGGACACTGGGAACCCTTGGAGACAAGGATCCAGGATGTCCCCATGTCCCTTTAGTGTCCCTCAGAGACACTGGGAACCCTTGGGGACACAGTGCTGGAGTGTCCCCCCATTATCCTTCTGTGCTCCCATGTCCCTCAGGGACACTGGGAACCCTTGGGGACAAGGATCCAGGATGTCCCTATGTCCCTTTAGTGTCCCTCAGGGACACTGGGAACCCTTGGGGACAAGGATCCAGGATGTCCCCAAGACCTTCTTGTGTCCCCATGTCCCTCAGGGACACTGGGAACCCTTGGGGACAAGGATCCAGGATGTCCCCAAGACCTTCTTGTGTCCCCATGTCCCTCAGGGACACTGGGAACCCTTGGGGACAAGGATCCAGGATGTCCCTATGTCCCTTTAGTGTCCCTCAGGGGCACTGGGAACCCTTGGGGACAAGGATCCAGGATGTCCCCAAGACCTTCTTGTGTCCCCATGTCCCTCAGGGACACTGGGAACCCTTGGGGACAAGGATCCAGGATGTCCCCAAGACCTTCTTGTGTCCCCATGTCCCTCAGGGACACTGGGAACCCTTGGGGACAAGGATCCAGGATGTCCCCAAGACCTTCTTGTGTCCCCATGTCCCTCAGGGACACTGGGAACCCTTGGGGACAAGGATCCAGGATGTCCCCAAGACCTTCTTGTGTCCCCATGTCCCTCAGGGACACTGGGAACCCTTGGGGACAAGGATCCAGGATGTCCCCATGTCCCTTTAGTGTCCCTCAGGGACAATGAGAACCCTTGGGGACATGGATCCAGGTATCCCCATGTCCCTCTTGTGTCCCCATGTCCCCCAGGGACACTGAGGACCCTCAGGGACACACAATACTGGGGTGTCCCCATGGCGTCCGGACACTTGGAACCCTTGGGGACATAGATCTAGGGTGACCCATGTCCTTCTTATGTCCCCATGTCCCCTGAGGGACACTGGAAACCCTTCAGGACATGGCTCTGTGGTGTCCCCTTGCCCCCCAGGGACACCGGGAAACCTCCGGGGACATGGTTCCATGGTGTCCCCATGACCCTTTTGTGTCCCCATGTCCTTCAGGGACACTGGGAAACCTTGGGGACATGGATCCAGGGTGTCCTCATGTCCCCAGGACAGTGGGAATCTTTGGGGGCATGGATCCAGGTATGTCCCTCTCGTGTCCCCAGGTCCCCCTGGGGACACTGGGAAACACCTAGGACATGGATCCGCATGTCCCCATGTCCCCCAGGAACGTTGGGAACCCCTGGGGACAGAATTCTGGGGTGTCCCCATGTCCCCTTGGGGACACTGAGAACTTCTGAGGCCGTGGTTCCAGGGTGTCCCCGTGTCCCCTGGACACTGGGGAGCCCATGGGGACACGGGTCTGGGTGTCCCCATGGTCCCTTTTGTGTCTCCATGTCCCCCTGGGGACACTGGAAGCCCTCAGGGACATGAATTTGAGGTGTCCCCATGGACATGGATGTTGGCATGCCCCCGTGTCCCTCTTGTGTCCGTGTCCCTTGGGGACATTGGGAACCCTTGGGGACATGGATCCATGGTGTTCTCATGCCTCTCTCGTGTCCCCATGTCCCCCCCAAGGACACTGAGGACCCCTGGGAACATGGATCCAGAGTGGCCCCATGTCCCTCAGGGACACCGGGACCCTTAGGGACACAGATCCGGGGTGTCCTTGTGTCCCCAGGACAGTGGGAACCCTTGGGGACATGGATCCAAGGTGTTCCCATGTCCCTGTCTCCCCCCGGGGACACATTCCCCAGGTGTCCCCGTGTCCCTCCTGTGTCCTGGTAGGACCTTGTCGCATCCCCCCATCCCGATTCGTCCCAGGGGACGCGGATCTGGGATGTCCCCATGTCCCTCCCTTTGTCCCATGTCCCTCCCGCCCGGCACGCCCGTGACCTGAATCCGGGGCGTCCCTGACCCTCCTGTGCCATGGGGACATCCTTGTCCCCTCCTGGTGTCCCTTGTCCCCTGTCCATCCCAAGGGACATGGATCCAGACTGTCCCCATGTCCCTCTTGTGTCCCCATGGCCCCCAGGGACACTGGGAACCCTTGGGGACATGGACCCCGGGGTGTCCCCGTGTCTCTCTTGTGTCCCTATGTCCCTCCTGTGTCCCCATACCCTCTTGGGGACATGGATCCGGGATGTCCCCATGTCCCTTGGGACACCAGGGAGTCTTAAGAGACATGGATCAGGAGTGTCCCCATGTCCTACCTGTGTCCCCATGTCCCCCAGGGACACTGGGAACCCTTGGGGACATTGATCCAGGTGTCCCCATGTCCCCCCGAGGGACATGGGTCTGGGGTGTCCCCATGGGGCCACCAAGAAGCCCTTGGGGACACGGTTCTGGGCTGTCCCTGTCCCACCTATGTCCCCCATGGGGGTGACAACAGCGGGGACAAGAGTGTCACCGTCCCCTCTGGGGGTGGCTGCGGGGGGGGGGGGGGGGGGGCCACCCACCGTCCCCCAGCGCTGGCGCCCGCCGTCACCCGCCTCGTCTCCATCCTCGTGTCTCGTGTCTGTCCCCATCTCACCTCACCCGGGCCGGGGGGGGGGGGCGTGGGGGGGGCGCGGCGGGGAGGGGGGCGGGAGGTGACACGCGCGTCCCTGTGCCATGTCCTGTCCGGGGTGGGACGGGATGGGGACATTTTGGGGGGGTGGGGGGTCCTGCCAGCGCTGGAGGGTCCCACCGAGCTGCTGCAGGTGAGTGCCGCGGCGCGTCGGGGTTGGGGGGGGCGGGGGGGGTGTGTGGGGAATTTTGAGGGTGGGGGTGGATGTGTGGGGGGGAAATGGGGTGGGGGGGTGGCTTTTGGGGACACTTCGAGGTGCGGGGGGGGGGGGGGACGGGGGGGTGAATGAGCCCCCTCGGTGCCTTGCAGGAGAGGCAGCTTTCCGCCGTGGGTGCAGCAGACCCGGGTGTGAGCTGGGCCGGGGGGGTCCCCGCGCGGCCCCCGCCTCCGCCCCCGCCACCCCCGATCACGGCCAACGGCGAGCTGCGCGGCCCCGCTGCTGAGCACTAGCCCCCGCCCCGGGGGCCACCGGGACCCCCCCCAACCCCTCGCCCCGGGGCTGGCGGTGGCCCCCGGCGACCCCCGGGGAAGAGGAGGCGGAAGGGAGGAAGGTGGGGTGGGGGGTGGGGGGGGGAAGGATACAAAAATCCACCCCCCCCCTCCCCTCCCCTCCCTCCTGCCCTGGCCTCGTGTGAAACGGGGAGCCCCTCGTGCGAAGGAGCTTGGAGGCTTCGTGCCCGCCCCGCCCCCCCCCCCCCGAACTTCTCGGGCTCCTCGTGCGCCGGGAGCGGGGGAGGCTCCTCGTGCGCCAGCTCCTCGTGCGGCAGCACCTCCCCGCAAGGGCTCCTCGTGCAAAGGGCTCCCCACCCCCCCCCCCCCCACCCCTCCCCACAGCGCCGGGACCTCGTGCGCCGGCTCCTCGTGCGCGCTGGGAACGGAGAAGCTTCGGGCAAGGGCGTCTCGTGCACCAGCACCTCGTGCGACGGCACCTCAGGCGAGGGGAGCGGGGAGCCCTCGTGCTAATGGCTCCTCGTGCACCAGGATTGGGGGGGGGAGGGGGGAAAGGCCTTGTGCGACATCTCCTTGTGTGATGGGAACAATGAGGCCTCGTGCAACGGCTCCTTGTGCCCCGGGACAGGGGTGGCCTCGTGCATCAGCTCCTCGTGCATCGGATCCTTGTGCAGTGGGGTCAGGGGAGGCCTCGTGTGCCGGCTCCTCGTGCAACAGCTCCTTGTGCACCGGGATTGGGGCAACCTTGTGCACCGGGAGCGGGACGGCCTCGTGCACCAGGACTGGGCTGGCCTCGTGCATTCGCTCCTCATGCACCAGGATCAGGCCAGCCCTCGTGCACCGGCTCCTCGTGCATCGGAACCGGGGCAGCTTCGCGCGTCGGCTCCTCGTGCAGCAAGAACCGGGGCGGCGGGGGGAAGGGGGGGGCAGGGGGGTGGGGGATGCCCTCGTGCCTCAGGATCATGGTGGCCTCGTGCAACGGGATCGGGGCGGCCTCGTGCAACAGCTTCTTGTGCTCCAGGACCGGGCATCCCTCGTGCGGCATCTCCCCGTGCACCAGGACGGGAGCTCCCCGTGCATCACCTCCCCATGCACCAGGACCAGGCCAGTTCCCTCCCCCCTCCCTTCCCTTCCTCGTGCATCACCCTCCTTGCACCAGGACCAGACCTCCCCTTGTGCATCAGCTCCTCGTGCATCACCACCCCTCGTGCACCAGCCTCCCCGTGCGCCAGGCCCGGACCTTCCCCTCGTGCATCACGACACCGGGCAACCCTCGTGCGTCGCCTCCTCGTGCGCCAGGGACCGGATCTCCCCTCGTGCATCACCTCCCCTCGTGCATCACCTCCCCTTGTGCACCAGGCCCCGGGGCAGCCCTCGTGCATCGCCTCCCCGTGCACCAGGACCGGAGCTCCCCATGCGACACCTCCTTGTTGCAGCAGCGCCCCCCGACCCCTTTTTTTTTTTTTTTTTTTTTCCCACTCGTGCATCGTCTCTCGTGCATCGCCCCCCCACCCCGTGCACCAGGAGCCGCAGGAACCCCCCCCCCCCCGACCCCGCACGTCCAGCTCTGTCGTGCAACAGCCTCGCCGGGCACCGCGCCCGGGGTGTCCTTGTGCACCGGGATGGGGGTGTCCCCGTGCACCGGAACCGGGGTGTCCTCGTGTAGCACCTTCCTCGTGCGACAGCACGGAGTGGGGGGGGTGTTGGGGGGGGGGGGATGTCCCCCTGCACCATCAGCCTCGTGCAATGGCACCGGGGTGTCCCCGTGCATCGTCCCTTGCTCCCCCCCCCCCCATGTGCCACCGGTGTCCCCTCCCTCTGAGGCACCGGGGGGGGGGGGTGGGGGGGCGCCCCTTGTGCATCACCCCAGACCCTCCCCCCCTTCCCCGTGCACTGGGACCCCCCCAACGCACAAGGACACCCCGTTTTCCCCGGTGTACCGGCACTCCCCGCCCCCCCCCCCCCCTCCATTCACCGGCGCCCCCCCACAATGCACCGGGAGACCCCCCCCCCCCATTCACCGCGACCCCCCTCCCCCCCTGCACCGGGACTCCTCAATGCACCGGGACCAACCCCCCCCCCCCTCCCTGCACCAGGCCCCCCCCCCCCGCTTCACCGGCTCCCCCCTCCCTCCCTCCCCCCGTTCAGCGGCCCCCGGTGCCCCCGGCGCCCCGGCCCGGGCCCGCCGCAGCCCCGACAATCCGCCGCCCGCGGGCGGCCCCAGGGCGGGTCTGGGCTGGCTCCAACCCCCGCCGGGGCCGCCGCTGCCCGCGGAGCCTTTAATAAACTCGGATCGGTCTTGTAGCCCCGCCTACAAGGGGGCGGGGCGCGGGGGGGGGCAGCCGATCGCGGCGAGGCGGGGGCGGGGTTGAGGAGAGGGAGGGGGAGGGCGGGGGCGGGGGGGGGCGGGGCTGAGTTGAGGGGGCGGGGTTTGGCAAAGGGAGGGCTGGTGGAGGGCGGGGTTTATCGGGGGGGAGGGGGCGGGGCTTGCCGGGTGGGGCGGGGTTTGGGGAGGGGGGGCGGGGCTTCTGCGAGGGGGCGGGGTTTCTAAAAGGGAAGGATAATGAGGGGGCGGGGTTTAGTAAAGGCAGTGTGGGGGAGGGGGCGGGGCTTACAGACAGGGGGTGGGGTTTAGCAAAGAGAGGTTTAATGCGGGGGCGGGGTTTAATAAAGACAGGGTGGAAGGGCGGGGCTTCCGCGGCAAAGGAACGGTTAAGGACAGGGTGGGGTTTAGAAAAAGGGAGAGTGCGGAGGGGGTGGGGCTTCCTGGCGGGGGCGGGTTTTAGAAAAAAGAGGGGGCGGGGCTTATGAGGGCGTGGCTTCCCGCGGTAGGGCCCGTGTTAACGGCAGGAGGGGAGGGGTGGGGCGGGGCTTCTCGCCGCACGGAGAAGCGGGGCTAGGGAGGGGCGGGGCTTTCCGGGGGCCTCGGGAGGGGGCGGGAGCTCGGGAGTGGGAGGGGCTTCCCGCAGCTCCCAGCGGGGCGGGGCTTGGGGGGGGACGCGCGAAGAGTGGCGCATGGCGGAGGGGGCGGGGCTTCCCCGCTCACGTCACCGCACGGGCGGGAGCGGGGAGTGGGGGGGGCGGGGCTTCCCGGCGACGTCACCGCTCGGAGGCGCCGGTGGCTGGGGGTGAGCGCGGGGCGCGCGGTCACGTGACGGGACCGGGGGGCGTCCCGAGGGGGGGCGGGGGGATCCCCGGGGGTCCCTGGGGTGGGAGGGGGTTGGGGGGGTGAACCAGGGGGGGCAGGAGCGGGGGGGGGGCGTTGGGCCGCCCCGGGGCTATAGGGCTGGCTATAGGGGGGGCTACGCGGGGGGCTATATGGGGGGGCTATAGGGGGCACCCCGAGGGGCAATAGAGCACCCCAAGGGGGGCAACCGTGCACCCCACGGGGCAAGCGGGCACCCAGGGGGGCAATGGGGTGCCCCGTGGGGCTCTAAAGCACCCCCCGTGGGTCAGTCGAACATTTGCTGGGCAACAAGATGCCCCGTGGGGCACCCGAGGGGGCGACGGGGCACCCGGGGGGGTCCTAGAGCACCCCAAGGGTCAGCAGAACATTCACTGGGCGATAGGGTGGCCCGTGGGGCGACAGGGTGGCCCGTGGGGCGACAAGGCACCCCCTGGGTCAGTAGAACAGTTCAGGAGGCAACAGGACACCCCACGGGGCAACGAGACACCCCACGGGGCAACAGGGCACCCAAAGGAGCAACAGGGCCCCCAAGGGGTTCCTAGAGCACCCCAAGGGTCAGTAGAACATTCACTGGGCAACAGGTGGCCTGTGGGGCAACAAGGCACCCCATGGAGCAGCAGAACAGCTTGTGGGGCAACAGGGTGCCGGAGAGGGGAAGGGGACACCCCACGGGGCAGTAGAACAGTTCATGGGGCAAGAGGAGCCCCCAGGGGGCCCCCAAGGGTGCAACAGGGCACCCCATGGGTCAGTAGAACATTCACTGGGCAACAGGGTGGCCCGTGGGGCAACGAGGCACCCTGTGGGGCAACAGGGCCCCCTGTGGGGCAACAGGGCCCCCAAGGGGGGCAAGTAGGTGCCCCCCGCCCCGTGTGACAGAGCTGTCCCCGCAGGCTCGTCGCGGGGAGGATGGCGGCGGAGGGCGGCCGGGTGCAGATCTCCTTCCCCCAGCACGCGGCAGCGCTCCTGGACTCCCTCAACCGCCTGCGGTTGGAGGGGAAGTTCTGCGACGTGGCCGTCCACGTGGGCGGCCGGATCTTCCCGGCCCACAAGAGCGTCTTGGCGGCCGCGTCCCCCTTTTTCCACGACAAGCTGCTTCTGCAGGATGGGGGGCGCCTGCTGCTGCCCCCCGCCATCGACCCCGACGCCTTCGAGGGGCTCCTGCACCTCATCTACTCGGGGCGCCTGACGTTGCTGTTGGAGGCCCTGCCCGGTCATCTCTTGGTGGCCAGCGGTCTCCAGATGTGGCACGTGGTGGATCAGTGCTCGGAGATCCTGAGAGAATTGGAGGGCGGGGCGTGCCGGTGGGCTGGGCGGGGCGGCGAGGGGACATCATCGTCATCATCAAGCGGCCGCGGAGGTGAGGCTTCGTCGTGGAGCACTCGTGGTGGCGATGGGTCTTCATCATCATCCTGGGCCCCCCGTGGTGGAGATGGGTCCTTGTGTACCGGCCGTGGTGGCGATGGAGCGTCGTCGTGGCCCGCCCGTGGTGATGGCTCTTCGTGTACCACCCATGGCGGAGATGGAGGGTCATCGTGGACCACCCGTGGTGGAGACGGGTCATCGTGTCCCACCCGCGGTGGTGATGGAGCGTCATCATCCTCGTGGAGCACACGTGGCGACAACCCATGTCCCACCCGCGGTGGTGATGGAACAGCCTCGTGGTCTGCCCGCGGTGGGGATGGGTCTTCATCATCGTCGTCATCATGGCCCGTGCGCGGTGGCGATGGCTCTTCATGGGCCACCCGCGGCGGTGAGGCGACAACGCCGTCTTTCACCAGGGACGGCGGTGAGGAGGTCCTCAAAATCCGTGTGGCCACCGACGTGGCGCCGGCGGCGGCGACATCCCTCAGCTCCCTCCTGAAGGACGCCGGCGAGGAGGTCCTCAAGATCTGCGTGGAGGAGGAGGAGGAGGAAGAAGAAGAGGAGGAGGAAGAGGGCGGCCACCGCCGCCGCCACCGCCCCACCGACGCCCTCCAGATCGTGCTGGAGGAGGAGGAGGAGGAAGATGGGGCGCCCGGAGACGCCCACGAGCCCCCCAAGATCTTCTACATCAAGCAGGAGGCGGGCGACGCCGCCGCGGTTGAGGGCCTCCTGCCCGCGGCCGAGCTGGCGAGCGGCTTCGCGCCGGCGGAGGTGAGCTACGTCATCCCGGCGGGCGGCGGCGGCGGGACGATGGTGGCAGCGGGTGGAGCGGCCGTCTTCCCGCAGCCGTCTTGGAAACCGGTGGACCTTCACGGGAACGAGATCCTGGGCCGGGGCCAAGCTCTTCACGCCCCGGTGAAGCTGGGGGCGGCTCCCGACGGCAAACGGTTCGGCTGCCTGTGCGGCAAGCGGTTCGCCGTCAAGCCGAAGCGGGACCGGCACATCATGCTGACCTTCAGCCTGCGGCCCTTCGCCTGCGCCGCCTGCCACAAGCGGTTCAAGCTGAAGCACCATCTGACGGAGCACATGAAGACCCACGACGGGGCCGGGCGGGCCTGCGAGCGCTGCGGCCGCCGCTTCCGCCTGCGCAGCGGTTTGGCCAAGCACCGGCCGCTCTGTCAGGGGGCGCGTTGGGGAGGGGGGTGCTGGGCCTGCGAGTGAGGGGGGGGACGGGAGCGGGGGGGAGGGGGCGGGGGGTGAGGAACGGTCTAGGGTCTGGCCCGGTTCAGGATCGGGCCCGGATCAGGGCTCTGGGCCCAGCTCTGTTCTCAGCCCGGTTCAGGGCTCTGGGCCCAGTTCAGGGTTCTAGGCCCAGCTCAGTTCAGGATCTGGCCCAGTTCAGGGTTCTAGACGCAGCTCGGTTCAGGGCTCTGAGCCCAGTTTAGGGCTCTGGGCCCAGCTCCGTTCCCAGCCCAGTTCAGGGCTCTAGACCCAGCTCAGGGTTTTAGACCCAGCTCAGTTCCCAGTGCAGTTCAGGATCTGGCCCAGTTCAGGGTTCTAGGCCCAGCTCGGTTCAGGACCTGGCCCGGTTCAGGGTTCTAGGCCCAGCCTGGTTCAGGATCTGGCCCAGTTCAGGGTTCTAGGCCCAGCTCGGTTCAGGATCTGGCCCAGTTCAGGGCTCTAGGCCCAGCCTGGTTCAGGATCTGGCCCGGTTCAGGGTTCTAGGCCCAGCTCGGTTCAGGATCTGGCCCAGTTCAGGGTTCTAGGCCCAGTTCAGGGCTCTAGGCCCAGTTCAGGGTTCTAGGCCCAGTTCAGGGTTCTAGGCCCGGCTCGGAGCTCTGGCCCAGCTGAAGCCCTGTACTGGCCTGGGGATTCATCCCTGTCCCAGCTCTGGGATCTCCCGGTTTGAGGCCGGTTCCCAGTTCGACCCTGCACCAGTCTGGGCCCAGCTCCCAGGTCAGGGCCTGGTTCCTGCCCTCAATCTGGCTTCCGCTTCCCCACCAGCCAATAGCAGCACGGGGGGGGCGAGATGGCCGTTGCCATGGGGACCGCGCTGCAACCCAGCCAGGTTGCCATGGCAACAGGAGCCCCCTGGGCCCCTCTGCCCACCTGCTGCCACCCCCAGGCCCTGTGGCCCCCCTGGTGACACCCCAGTCTCCACGAGGTCCCACCAGTGTCCCCTCCCACCCCTTCTGGGGACATCCCTGTCCCCAGGGGGGACCCAAGCGTGGACCCCCCTCTCCCCCCCAGTGCTTCAAGGACACTCGTGTCCCCAAGTGCCACCCCCAACTGGACACAGTGCCACTGGTGATGTCACCCCATGAGCTTTAATGGGCCGAAACAGCGCAAAAAAGGGGCAAAGCTGTAAAGAGAAAGAAATAAAAGTGATGGGATGCCGGGATGGGGAGAACCAGTAAGTGACTGGGGCCAAACTGGGACGGTGCTGCCACCTGGGAGGTGACATGGGCCGATGTGGGGGTCCCACCACTGCCAGACTGGGCCATACTGGGACGGCACTATTACCTGTGGGGTGATGTGGGGGTCCTACCAGTGCCAAACTGGGATGGCACTGTCATCTGCAGGGCGACACATGGGAATGTGAAGTCCCACCAGAGCCAGACTGGGCCAAACTGGGGTGGCACTGCCACCTGGGAGGTGACACAAGGTGATGTGGGGATCCTACCAGTCCCGGACTGGTCCAGACTGGGATGGCACCGTCACCTATAGGGTAACGTGAGGGTTCCACCAGTGCCAAGCTGGTCCCCATTCCTAGATGCACCCTACTCCCAACTGCACAAATGGTGGGTGCACGTGGGTGGGTGGACACCTCAGTTCCTGCTGCCCCACCAGTGGGTTCTGGGTACGTTGGGTGTCCGCGTCCGCGTTACGGTGGCAGTCACCAGCTGGGACGTGATGACGGATTAATTGAGTTTCCTTGATTATCCATCAAGTATCTGTGCGGGTTTCCTCAGGGAAGGGTTTGGATTGTCCGTCGCATGAAGGTTCTTGCCTTTTTCGATGTTCTCCACATCTTCTCCGGTGGTAGCACCTCACCGGCTGTTAACAAAACTCCCGGGAACACTCGCTGCACTTTCTAGGTGGATACTTTCCGTTGGATGAAGGTTCAACAACTTTCCACACGCTCATCCAGGAGGTCAGCGGTTCCTAGGGAGGAAGAAGACCAAGGTCTTGGGTCACACGCAAGCCCCAGGAACGAGTCACCGCGCCCCCACCATCTCCCATATTCCTTTTCCCTCAGAAGTGTGTTTTCCCACCCGGCGTTCCCCCAGGGATGGGTGTCGATTCTTCCCCCCCCCTCCTGGATGCCTGGAGGGGATCAAAGCATCCTGCTGGTGTTGGGTCAGCACATGGGCCTCTCTAGAGTGGACTACCCGGAGGATTCTGCTGTGAGTTCAACACTTGTATGGCCTCGCACAAGTTCTTCCCCTAATTAGCATCATCATTTCACCATTTGAGTTGTTTAATTAATCCCCCACCAGCTTTCTACCACACCCTCCCTCAGAGGTTGGTAGGGCTTCAAAGTCCACTTAACGCCGTGCTCAGGACACTGTTCCTCTCCTATTTTTAAATGTTTATTTTCATTTTAACTTTAAATTATTTTATTATCTCTTGCAGCGACAGGTGCACACCAGACCATTGGTTTAATCCTGCTGCAGGGCCTGGTGGGAAAAACATTACCCAAACTTGTTACGCGTTCAACTCAGGTCTTCATACATTTCCATCCTTCAGAGGTTGGGGTCATGGAGATCGAGTCAACTTACCAAGTGTCCCAAGGGACGTTCCCTTCCCTAAGTGACTTATGATAACTCCTCCTGTCCTTCCCAAATCCAAAAGTGGTCACTGGTGGGGCTGCTTGTTGCTTAGAGCTTGGCCAACATGGTCTTGCTGCACGATACATTTCCCTGTGTCCCCACCATTCATGGAGCCATTCAACCACCCGATATTCACGGTAGGAGAAAATCCTGCCACGTTTCTACTGGTGGTCGCCTGCAGCAGTCCATCTGGCCACTCACGCAGTGTTTTTCTGGTGTGTGGCTCCATCCCCAATAGCAGTAGGATGGGAGATGGTGATCTGGTATCTTTGTTCCCAATATTTCTTCTCCATACATCTCCGTTCCCCATCTGCCAGTTGCCTTTTGCCCAATTTCCTCGCCATGGCACAGCACCAGCCCATACGTACGTGGTCCATACGTACACGGCCCATACACCATTTCTAAGAGCTAAGACCATGCCCTGGAGCTCCACTGGTTGAGCAGAACCTTCGACTCGCTCCGTTGCCACAAATCCATCAGCCACAGATCCAGCAGCAGCCGTGCCTTGCCCTTCACCCAATGTTTTACAAGCACCCCATCAGTCAGACACCATCTGGTTGGTGGGGATTGACTTCAGGAGCATCCTGGGTAGGAGAACACGGAGGCTCCGTCTATTCAGTGGCCGTTGCTACGCGCTCCACAGCTTCAGCGACTCTGTTCTCCTTGGTCAAGCCACCTGTGATGGATACACAGTCCCACCTCTGCACAGTGGTCTTAGGTGCTACACCTAAAGGTGGTGGTTTGCCACCAAGAGGTTTAAGAAGTATCGGCATGTGGAACATGAAACTTCTCCAAGTTGGGGGTTTGGTTGCTCCCAACCCTTTGTAGGCTGCTAGAACCTCTTCAAAGGTTGAGGAACTGTGCTGAGCACTCTGCCATGAGTTGGAGCTCCTTGGAGCTCCTTGTTGACGCAGTCCCAATAATATCCCATCTCTCCCACCCGGCTCCTCAGCGAGAGGCTGCATGGGGTGGAAGGGTCCCAACGGCTGATACACCTTCACATTGGCTTTTAGAAGCTTCAGGGCTTCTTCATGTGGTGGGCTCCATGCCCAGACTGCATTTTGCTTGAGTAAGTTATGGAGCAGTCACGTTATTCTATGCAATCCTGGAATATGTGTCCTCCCCAAATCCTCAAGGCCCTGTCACAGCACGCAACTCCTCTATTCTTGGGGATGGGCAACTCTTGGATTTCTTGCAGGACCTCAGCAGGAGCCACTTTCCTCCCACCTCTCCATCTGACTCCCAGCTGGGTCCTTCTTTCTTTCTGTCCTCTACCTCAATTAACTCTCGGTGCGTCACAATCACCTCCACGGCCTGTTCCACAGCTTCTGCTGGGCATCCACCTACTACAACATCATATCATGGTCACCACTTGCCATTGGGTTTCTTTACTGGTCATACTGGAGAGTTGGAGGGCAATGAACTCGACAACTTTCTCCCAGCTCTTTTATCAACCCAGGAAGAAGGCAATTAACACCAGAAGGTTAATTTGCATCGGGGAATGTTAGCTCTCTTGTGGTGAGGTAGAAGAGCAGCAGTTGGCAGCTCTCCAGTTGTCCTTATCTGCCATCGGTGTTCGGACTCCCGAGCCAAAGAGGAATGGTTTAGGGCGGCAATCATTAACCACGACCATCATCTCAGGACCTCGGATCCTCGGTGGTAGGAGCAGTGGCGGCAAGTGTTTCCACCAAACCGAGCCCAAATCCTGATTTCCTGTAAATCCTCAGTCTAGGCTGAGTGCCAGTAGGTTCGGGTCTATCCCTGAGAGCTCCCGTCCTCCAGCTCCCGTCGTTATCCCTGTAAATCCTACGGCATCACCCCCATCTCCTAACGCAGGCCCCAGAGGACCATCACAAGATGTCAGTGAGGGGGAAGCCAGCCAGTAGAACATATTTCCCATCATCTCCATGAGCGTTTCCTGATTTGCCCTTTGTATGTTGCACAGAGACAGTCTCTTTTTTATTCAATTTCTTTTAGCTGAGGTTCTCACCTGGTTTTTATCCCGTGAGGTGCTGACTGGTAAATCTACTAGGGTACATTGAAGAACCTAAAAATAATTAAATTCTTGCAAGATATTATTGGAAAATACTGGAAAATAATACCGCTCAAGCCTGTCTTAACAGGTAAATCTCACGATTTCTCAGCTCAGAGTTCCCGATCCAAAAAGCTCCGAGCTTTTCTTCCCACAATCTGTGGGATGCAGGGTGTGTCCCCAGCCCAAATTTGGAAGGGATTGGGAATATTTGGCGCCGTGGTAGCCAATATACCCAGACCTGATGCTACCAACGGAGCTTCAGCAGGGGCGAGGTGGTGGTGGTCGGCTCTGGCTGTCCAGATCCATGCCAGCTCCTCCGTGGGCGTTTCTCCTGGTGTCTCTCCCCAAGATCAGTTAATTGGCGATGAGTTTTGTGCCCCTGCAGGCGCGCTCTGTTGTTAATTACTGCTGCCAGGAGGGCAGGGAATCATCCTCGTTAACACCTGCAGGTAGTCTGCTCATTTCCAGGTATCCCAACCATCATCACCCACAGCACAATGAACTGGGTCTAAAGACGCTTCCAACCACCTCCTTCTGCACTCTTCACCTTTGGCAATTACCTGGGGTTGAAGTTTTGACTCGAGCAATCTATTTTGCATTTCTAATCGCTTACACCTCACTTCCTCATTTTTTTTCTTCCTCATTTTTCTCTTCCAACTCATCGATCGTATCCCTCGCTGCTCCAAACAACTGCCCAGTCGCCAGCACATGGCATCTTCTCCTCTTCCTTCCTCTAACCTACATGAAGCTCATCGTTCACCAAATTCCCACCAAATATTACCAGGATCCAGCCAGGACAAATCCCACTTGGGATGTCACTGTCCCACTTCCTTCAATTTTTTCTCCCACTTGATGCCGCTCAACATCTGGTTTTCTGTTCTTCACCACGGCACGGACACGCACGAATCCAAGCGGTTTCCTCAGGACATGTCCAGGAGAGACCCCGCTTCTGACATCACTAACGTGTCACGGGCCATTTGCATCTCTCAAATTACTCAGTCAATTAAACTCTAGGAGCTCATTAAGAAATCTAATGAGCAAATAAGGGCTCAATCCCCTGTGCACGGAGTAGTTTATTCACCGCTTGCTTATTCACCACTCCAGTCATGAGGTTTCAGCACTTAAAGCTCGTTAACTCGTTAATTTGTGCATCTATGAGCAAAATGAGTTGCCCAGGTGATGATGCAAGCGTGGAGCCAGTGTCCCCCATGTCCCCTCCCTGTGTCCCCGCCCCGGGACACGCGGCACAAGCTGCGTTAGCCATAACCTGAGCTGAGTGACATCTGGGAAGAGATGAGGTGACGTGTGGGTCCCACCAGTGCTGGACTGGGCCAGACCGGTCCCCTTCCCACGGGCTGGGGTCACGGGGGTGACTCACCCGGATGCCTGGGTCTGCAGTAAGGTCAGGGGGAGTCACTGTTGTCACCGTCGTCTCCGAGGATGGCGGCGCCCAGAGCTTGCAGCTGCGTCACGAGGGAGCCCAGCGCCGCTGGGGGGGACATTGGGGACATTTGGGTCTGGGGGAGACACTGGGGAAGACGTTGGGGGGGCACCCGGGGGTGTCATGGGACATGAAGGGCGACATGGGGACACCAGGGGGGATACAGAAACACCTGCGGGTGCCACACGGGCCAGACCTACCTCTGCTGGGGAGGTGGCCAGTCCTGTCCTCACGGGGGATGGCCTGGGGGTGACATGAGGGGTGACACAGGGACAGGAGCCATCCCTGTCCCCAAGTGTAGCCCCCCCACCGCCCCTCCCTAGCCCAGTGTCCCCCCTTGCCACCCCTTCCCCACCTCCAGCCCCTCCACGTCCCCTCTCTGTGTCCCCAAACCACCTCACCTCGTCCTGCGTCACCTCATCCTTTGTCACCCAGCTGTGTGTCACCTCCTCAGCCGCCCCCAAGGCCGTGCCTGTGGGGACAGGGACAGGCCACGGTGGGGACACGGCAGCCACCGCTCACCCACAGGGGCACAGGGCGCCACTGGGTCCCTGTGGTGTTCCCAGTGTGTCCCTTGGCACCTGCCCAGTACCCCCTCGTGTCCCACCAGTGATGTCCCCTGCCCGGTGTCCCCAGTGTGTCCCCAACATGTCCCTACTCACCGCTGCGCCGGACCTTGGCCACCATCCCCGCGAGCCGATGGGCACTGCCTGTCACCTTGGGCACTGGGCTGGGGACAGCGTCACCGCGTCACCCCCAGCCCCACAACACGGGCGTCAGGGCCAGCAGGGTGGGGACAGTGCCACTGTGTCACCCCTGGGGTCCCCAAAGTCACTCCCAGGGTCCCAATGACCCCTCCAGTGTCCCCATGCCACCCTCAGGGTCCCGATGTCACTCACGGGGTCCCCTAACATCCCTCAACACCCCCAAAGTGGACCCAGGCATCCGGGCCCTCCCCCATCACTCACTTGTCCCCTGCTGGGTCCTGCTGCCACCACGGCCGGTCCAAGGCCACCGCTGGGGCCACCAGCCCTAGGGACAGAGGACAGGGTGACTCCAGGGCCACCTGCTGTGGAGGAGGGGTGACAGTGGCATTGGGGCCACCTTGTTCCCATCCTCATGCCTATCCTGTCCCCATCCCCATATCCCCTTTTCTGTCCCCATATCTCCCTCCCTGTCCCCGTATCTCTCTCCCCATCCCCATATCCCCCTCCCTGTCCCCACGTCGCCCTCCCTGTCCCCATGTCCCTATGTCCCCCGTCCCCACGTCTCCCTCCCCATGTCCCCCTCCTTGTCTTTGTGTCCCCATCCTCTCCCTGTCCCCATGTCTCTCTCCCTGTCCCCGTGTCACCCCCCTCGCCTCTGTGTCCCCTGTCCCCATACCCTGGAGGACACGGAGCCGCTGTCCTGCCCGGCGCAGGCGGGCGCTGAGGGTGACCATGCTCCTGGTGGCTGCTGTCACCTCAGCCTCGCGTGCTGTCACCACCCCGGCCAGCCTGGGGGGACAGGGGGACACAAAGGGTCAGGGCCAACAGTGACATATGGGGACAGGGATACTCCCAGTGTCCCCAGTGCCTCCCAGTACTCTCCCAGCTCCTATCCCAGTCCCCCTCAGGCTCTCCCAGTGGCACCCCATCCTCCCACCCAATTTCTTCCCCATTCCACCCCCCTCCATCCCCCTTGGTGACCAAGTTCTCCCCAGTCCCTCTTAGTGACCCCTCCAGTTGTCCCCCAGTTCCTCCCAGTACCTGGCAGCCGCCCGGGCCAGTTCCCCCAGTGCCTCCTCAGCCGCCTCTGCGCGTCCCCGCTGCCGCATCACCTCCTGTGCCAGGCGCTGGGACAAATGCCACCACATCCCCAACCCGTCCCCAAGCCCTCCTGTGTCCCCAAGTTGTCCCCACCCTGGGTCACCTCCTTGGCCGGGTCACTGCCCACTGGTCATCGATGTCCCCAATCTCTCCTTAAGTGGTCCCTTGCGATGTCCCCAAGCCACCCCTGTGTCCCCAGTGTCTCCCAAACCCATCTCCAGCACGGCCTGGACATGTCTCCGTGTCCTCATGTCCCCAGCATGTCCTCATGTCTCTGGCATGTCCCCCTCCGTGTCCCCACACGTCCACAGCATGGCTCTATGTCCCCAGCAGGTGCCCATGTCCCCAGCACGTCCCAAGCAGGTCTCCATGTACCCACCAGGCCCCCCTTTACCCCACACGTCCCCAGTGTGTCTCCATATGTCTCACATGTGTCCCCTCCATGTCCCAAGCAGGTCCCCATGTCCCCAGCATGTTCCCCACATGTCCCCATTTCCCCCGCGTGTCCCCGCATGTCCCATGCATGTCCCCGGCAGCTCCCCGCATGTCCCCCCGTCCCCTCCCGTGTCCCAGCTGACCTCGGTGTCCCGACGCTGCAGCTCTGCGCTGGCCGCCCTCTCACGCAGGCTCAGCCCCAGTCGTGTCACCCGGCGCGTCCCCGCTGCCACCGCCGCCTCCAGTGTCCCCACCTGAGGAACCCAGGAGTGTCCCAGGAGGGACCCAGGTGTCCGGGAGAGCCCCCTCCCAAAAGAAACAGGTGACCCCTGGAAGGGACTCAGGTGTCCAGGAGACCCCCACCTCCTCTAGATGAGACCCAGGTGCCACCCCCCAGGAGGGACCCACACACCTGGGCACCCCCAAAACCCCCAGATGGGACACAGGCACCCCACCCGGGGATGAACCCAGGAGTCTGGGCACCCCCCGATCCCTCAGCTGGGACCCAGGTACCCCCCCGAGAGGGACCCAGGCATCCAGGCACCCACCTGCGCCCGCAGCACCCGCTGCGCCTCCTCCTGCACCCGCAGCTGCACCAGGAGGGTGAAGACCTTCTCCCGCCAGCGCCCCAAAAGTGCCTGCAGCTGGGGGGGGGCCATTGCCATGGGCACCCCGGAGGGGGGAAGCTGAGGGGTGAGAGGGGGGAGGTGTGGGTGCTCCAGGGCACCCAGACACCCGCTTAACATCCTGCACCCCAGAACCACCCCGCTGCACCTCAGTGCCCACCCCCCCAGCACCCCAAAAGCTTTCCTCTGTGGCACCCCTGAGTGGGTTCCAAATCCCCCCGTTGCACCCCAGAAAACCCCCATGGCACCCCAAAAACCTCTCCAGAGGCAACCTATGGGACCCCATGACCCCCCAGGGATACCCTGACCCCCCCCCAGGACTGCCCTCCCCCACACCTCTCTGGGTTGCCCCGTTAACCCCCAGGATCCCCCTGTGACACCCCATGGCATCCCATTGCCCCCCATGGGCAACTCGCAGCACCCAAGGGCTCCCCCATCACCCCAAAATCCCCCCCAGGGGCACCCTATGACACCCCAGGGGCACCTCAAAGCAACCCAGGCCCCCTGTGCCCCCCCAAATCCCCCCCCCCCAGGGGCACCCCGTGGCCCCCCCAGCCCCACCTCACGGCCCAGCTCGTGCTCCTGCAGGGTCAGGATGTGGCCGAGGGCGCTGAGCCGGGCCTGGAACAGCACCTGGGCCTGGCACTGGGAGGGGGGAATTGGGGACAGCATGGGGACACTGGGACACCCTGGGGCCACTGTGAGGACAGAGTGACACCCTGGGGACACCAGAGGGACAGGGACACCATGTCCCCCCCATCATAGGGACAACAAAGGGACAGAGCCACCATGTCCTTCCCACCATGGGGACACCCTGGGGACACCAGAGGGACAGGGCCACCATGTCCCCCCCACCGTGGGGACACCCTAAGGACAGGGCCACCATGTCCCCCCCATCATAGGGACAACAAAGGGACAGGGCCACCGTGTCCCCCCACCATGAAGTCATCCTGGGGACAGCAGAGGCACAGGGCCACACGTCCCCCCACCATGGGGACACCCTGGGGACAGGGCCACCACACCCCCAAGGGGAGGGGACACGGCCCCCAGGGCGCTGGGCTCACCTCCCCCATGGGTTGTCCCCCATCAGGCTCCGCCCCCCGGGCTTGACCACGCCTCCTCCCAGTCACAAGCTCCGCCTCCAGCGATTGGACACGCCCCCTCTCAGCCTCAAGCTCCACCTCCAGGCCTTGACCCCGCCTTTTCTCAGCCTCAAGCTCCGCCTCCAGTGCGTGGCTCCGCCTTTTCTCAGCCTCAAGCTCCGCCTCCAGCGCTTGACTCCGCCTTTTCTCAGCATAAAGCTCCGCCTCCAGATCTTGGCCACGCCTCTTCTCAGCCTCCAGCCCCGCCCCCAGGGGCCTGCCAAAGGAAACCTGCGTGTCTAGGCTGAGGGTTACGGGGCGCACGGGGAGGGTCAGTGGGTATTGCTGGGGGATCACAAAGAGCACTGGGGGCTACTGGTTTAGCAGGAACACTGGGTGGGGCTACTGGGAGTATGAAAGCGGAGTGAGAGCAATTAGGGTGTGGGGGGGGTGAGGCAACTAGGTGAACTGGGGGGTTACTGGGAGGCTTACAAGGAGCACTGGGCGCAGGGTAACTGGGAGCCCTTACCTGGTGCTGGCGGGGCGGAGCGTGAAGTGCGACGGGGGGATGAGGCCCAACAGACCAAGGGGGGGGACCCCAGTGTCTGGGGGGGGTAAGGGGGAACCCCAGAGGGGTTTGGGGGGGGTCCCAGGCACCCGGGGCTCACCAATACCACGGTGCTCACTCTCGGCCATTGGTGGCACCTTGGGGTGGGACAACTCCCAGTAAGTTCCAGTAGCCACCCCCTCTAAGGGCCCAGTAACTCCCGGCACCCCTTCATTTCCAGTCCCCGTAACTCCCAGCAGCCGCCTCATGGATTTACTAACTCCCAGTAACCCTCTGTTCCAAGTCCCTGCAACTCCCAGTACAGGCCTGCTCACTTCCACCCACGCTCCCGGCACCCCCCCAGCCTCAATGACTCCCAGTAAGCCCCAGCGACTCCCTGCCCCAACCCGGTTCCAGTGACCCCCCCGTAACTCCCGGTTCAACCCGCCGTGGAGCCAGTGACTGCCGGTCCCACCCCCCCACAACGCCTCCCCCAACCCCCAGGGGCTCCCAATTCTCACCCCCGCACCCCGCAGCGGCTCCCAGCATCTCCCCCCACTCCCCCCACCGTGGCCCCAGCGGCTCCCAGTCACCGCCCCCCATATTCCCGCTGACTCGCCATTCACCCCACGCGGATGCTCCCCACTGACCCCCCCGCGATCCCAGTGACTCCCCGCCCCACGGCCCCGGGGCCTCCCGCCAACTCCCCGCTTCCCTCCCCCCGGCCCCGCTGCGTCCCGGTACCCCCGCACCGGTGCCCTCAGCGCGACCCATCCGCCCCCGCCCACAACGGCGCGGAACGCGCCGCAGCCGCCGATCTCCCGCTCCGCGCGACGCAGCCAATCAGCGCGCAGAGCCGAGAGGAGAACCCGCCTCCTCACCCCGGAGGCGCGAAAGGGACAGCCAGTCAGAAACGGCAAGGAGCCGGTTCCGCCTCCCGGCTGGCCAATGAAAGGCTGCGTCTGGGCGTGGGGGGCGGTGCGGAGAGCGTCGCGGCTGGTCCCGCCCTCTCAGGGAGGATCCACCAATCAGAGGTCGAGGGGTGGGGCCTGGGGTAGAAATTGGGGCCTAGGGGCTAAATCCGAGTTTTAAGGGGATAAATCTGGGTTCCAACGGGCGAAATGTGTCCCCTGAGGGGTAAATCTGAGCCATGAGGGGGTAAATCAGGGCTCCAAGGGGCTAAATGTGTCCCCTGAGGGATTAAAGGGAGTCCTGAGGGGTAAATCTGGGCTCTAAGGGGCGAAATGTGTCCCCTGAGGGGTAAATCTGAGCCCCCAGGGGGCAAATCTGGACTCCAAAGGTCTATATGTGTCCCCTGAGGGGATGAAGGAGGTCCTGAGGGGTAAAACTGAGCCATGGGGTGGTAAATGTGGGCTCCAAGGGGGTAAATGAGTCCTCTGATGCGGAGCCGCGGACGAACGACACGCCGGGACGGGTTCATCGTGGAAGATAGAGCATCATTCCACGTGTGTGTTTATTGGTCCAGGGTACATATATTTATACAGACAACGCTAATTATTATGCCTACTAGTCACTAGCTGATTGGCTTAAGCTCTAAAGGTCGTATTCGCACGGCCCACCTACTTGCAGTTAGCTTACAGCACAAGCTTCTCATAACACTGAGTTTCTCAGGCCACTATTTCTGATTCCTCTTGACTTGTTTTCGATACACGACGGTACCATAACACAATGTTTCTCAGACCACCGTTACCATAACACTGGGTTTCTCAGACCACTATTCCTAATTCCTCTCAACCTGTTTTCGACACACCACGGTACACAGGGCTGAAGCGTCCTTGACATTCCTCCTGTATCGGCAGCTGCGAGCAGCTGCAGGCAAACCCTAGTGAGGCTCAGCATCAGCGAGGCAGCATCAGCCCCTAGAACCCGCTCTGATCGTAAAACTGCTCTGGGGGCTCAGGACCCTTGTCTCTGAGCCATTCTCCAACACTCTTGAGGGGATAAAGGGGGTCCTGAGTGTAAATCTGAGCTCTGTGGGTGTAAATCTGGGCTCCGAGGGATGAAATGTGTCCCCTGAGGGGTAAATCTGAGCCCTGTGGGGGTAGATCTAGACTCTAAAAGTCTATATGTGTCCCCTGAGGGGATGAAGGAGGTCCTGGAGGAAAAATTTGAGCCGTGTGGGGGTAAATCTGGGCTCCAAGGGGCGAAATGTGTCTCCTGCGGGAGTAAATCTGGGACCTAAGGGGAGAAAGGGAGTCCTGAGGGGTAAATCTGAGTCCTGAGGAGCTAGATCTGGGCTCCAAGGAGCTACATCTGGTCCCTGAGAGGTAAATCTAGGCTCTGGGACGTAGATTTTGGCCCCTGTGGGGTTAAATCTGGGCTCTGGGGGGAAAACGGGGTTCAAAGGACGCCTGGGTCCCTCCCATTGCCCCAGATGCCGGAGTCCCGTGTGGGTGTGGGAGTGGCGGTGACGTAGGTGCCATCAGTGTTGGGGCACGTAACCAAGGGACACAAGAAGGTAAGTGCATGGGATGAGGGGGAAAAAAATGGGAGAACTGTGGGGGGGATGCCAGGGGGTGGGAGGGGGAGGTGGGGGCGGCGAGGGGACACATCCCAAACCCGGATGCCTGGGTCCCTCCGTGGTGAGGAAAAGGAAGTAAATGGGTTCCGTGTCTGGACGCCCGGGTGCCTTGGGGCGGCAGTGGGGGCCACACCCGGGCGCCTGGGTCCCTCTGGTAGGGGCACACGACCCCCCAGCCGGGACGCCAGGGTCCCTGGAAGGGGTCCCGGCCACCGGGGCCCCTAGGGAGGGCTCCCCACCGGGACGCCTGGGTGCCCTCCCCGAACGCCCGGGTCCCCCCCCCCGACGCCTGGGTGCCCCCAGGATGTCCTCTCCACCACTGGCCCCGGCGGTGGCCTCGGCCACGGCGGCCGCGGGGCAGACGCTGCAGGCGCTGGTGAGGCTGGCGGAGGCGTTGGGGACGCCGGGGACGGTGACGGCGGCGCTGGCGGAGGCGAAGGCGGCGCTGGCCGAGGCGGAGGTGGCGGTGGCAAGGCTGGAGGCGGCGCTGAGGGCGGCGATGGGGAAGGCGGCGGCGATGGAGGTGCCGACGCCGGGGCTCGACGCCGAAGATCTTTACCGCAAGCTGGGGGTGTTCGCCCGCACCAGCGGCGCCGAGCTGGAGCAGGAGCTGAGGCGGAACCGCCGGCGCCGGTGGTGGCTCTGCGTGGCCCGGAACGTCGCCCTGGCGCTGCTGCTCGTCTGCACCCCGTTGTGTGAGTACGGACCAGCCTAGGCCAGGCGGGACGGGTTCAGAGCAGTAGGGATCCGCCACAGGTCTGCCGGGACCAGGACAGACCAGCTGAGAAACCTACAGACTGGTGGGGAGCAGGAGGTACCAGTAAGGAGCTGTACAGGCACGTGGAGACTTTCCCTTGCCCTGAGCAGCACGGACCAGTTGGGGCCAGCCGGGATCTGCTGCAGATCCGCCTGGACCAGTAATGCCCGTAGAAAACCCCACAGAGCAGCACAAGGCAGTAGGAAACCCTGCAGCCCAGCAGAAGCTTTGCCCTGCTCCGAGCCCTAGAGGCCAGTCTGGAGATGCACAGGCCAGCGAGGAGCTCCACAGGGCAGTTCAGCCCAGCGTGTACCAGCAGGCAGCAGTAAAGACCGGTCGAATGCCCTACAGACCAGTAGAGATCTTCCCGGGCCCCGAGGCGTACGGACTGGGGGACACTGGGAGGGGACTGGGGACACTGGGACGGGCTGCGGACACTGGGGTGGGGGCCACCAGGAGGGGCCAGGGGACGCTGGGGGGGTAGTGGCACACCCGGAAGGGGACGGGGACACTGGGACAAGAGTGAGGAGAGCGGGATGGCACCGGGGACGCTGGGAGGGGCCGAGGACACCAGGTGATGTCCCCGTCCCCACCCCGATGTCCCCGCAGTGTCCCTGGACGCGGTGCGGGAGGTGCTGGGGGTGACACAGGAGAGCCAGCTCGTCCCCTGCCTGGCCACCGTCACCCTCATCTGCCAGGCGGCCCTGTGGGGCGCGGGGACATCCAAGCGTCACTTGGCCGCTGCCGTCAGGCGCTACCGTCAACAAGAGCTGCGCTACAACCGCCTGGCCCGGGCCAGCGCCGCTGCCACCGCTGCCACCGCCGAGGCCACCGAGGCCATTGCTGCGGCCAACGTCACCCTGGGGATGCTGGAGGAGGTGGCCGGTCAGCTGAGGACCCTGGTGGACGCCGTCACCGAGGATCTGGAGATGGCCCGTGGCTTCCCCGCCAGCGCCCGGGCCCTGGGGGACGCGGTGGTGGCCTTGGGGACAGTGATGGGGGACAAGGAGGGGACGCAGAAGTTGGAGCGGGTGCTGGAGGCTCTGCCGGGGGACGAGTAGGGACGGGGAGACTGGGAGTGTCCTCCTCGTCGTGGGGGACACCCCGATGTCCCCTGTCCCACCTGGGGATACGTGGGGGTTCCTCCTCATCCTGGGGACACCCCGATGTCCCCTGTCCCACCTGGGGACACCCGGAGGTTCCTCCTCATCCTGGGGACACCCCGATGTCCCCTCTCCATCCTGTGGACACGCTGATGTCCCCTGACCCATTTGGGGACACCTGGAAGTTCCTCCTTGTTCTGGGGTCACCAGGATGTCCCCTTTCCCAGCTGTCCCCTTCATAATCTGAGGTCACCAGGGACAGGGAGGTGACACCATCCCCTGTCCCCCCCAATAAACCTCAGGGACAGGCTGAGCCCCCGGGCTGTTGCTTGGGGTTGGGGACACAGCAGGGACATAGGGACACCAGGGGAAGGGGACACCCCTACCCCCGTCAGAGGACACCAGGTTGTCCCCAGGCCCTGGGGGACATCATGAGGACACATCAGGGCCCTCAGCAGATCCATGTTGGGGACGGCGTTGGGGACACCTGGGACATCATTGGGGCCAGGTTGGGGACATGCTGGGGTCAAGCCATCGCCACCCTGGGGACATCACTGGGGCTGTGTTGGGGACATCTCTGAGGGCACCTTGCTCCCCGCATTGGGGACACTCCGGGGACATTGCCAGGCCCAGCTCTATTGACACACTGGGGCCACCATGGAGGACACTGGGGACACTGAGGCCACCAGCAGGGCCAGCAGTGGGGGACAGATTTGGGACGCGCCAGAGCCAGCACTGGGGACATGCTGGGGACATCAGGGGACATGGGGGGGGGGGGGGGGGTATGATGCAGATTGTGGGTGGCCGTGTTGGGGCTCCACTGGGGACATTGAGGGGGACCATGGGGCTGCGTTGTGGACAGTGGGGGACATCAGGGGCTGTGGGGATATTGGGACATGGAGGGGGGGGACATTAGGGGACACTGAGGACTGGGTGGCTGTGCTGGAGCCCCGTTGGGGACATATACGGGGGACATCAGGGAGCATCGGGCTGCACTGGGGACACTGGGGGTCCTGGGAGGCTGTTGGGGACACTGGGGGGACACTGGGGGGACACCAGGTGACACTGAGGACTGCGGGACCCCCTTGGGGGGACACCGAGGGCTGTGAGGGGCCGTGCTGGGGACATCCCGGGGGGGGCACTGGGGACTGTGGGGTCCCGCTGGGAACACTGGGGGCCATGGGAGGGGTGGGGGGAGCCTGTTGGGGACATGGGGGGGCACCCACCGAGGGGCGTGGGTGGCCCTATGGGTGTCACGGGGTGGGTGACGTCCCCGCTGGCAGCGGCCCCTCGCCCAGCCCCCGCAGGCCCAGCCCAGGTCCGGGACCGTATCCTGCCACCGCCGCTGTCCCCTCCCGGCCCGGCGTGTGTGAGTGTCCCCCCCCCCGGCGTGTCCCCAACTCGTCCCCACCGCTGCCACCACCTATGGAGACCCCTGAGGCCACCGGGGCCGTTGTCCCCTCCGAGGTGGGACAAATCTCGGCGCCGGAGGGTGGGGGAGGGGGGGAGGCGGGGAGGGGGAGGGACGGGAAGGTGGCGGGGGCGGGGGGGGGGGGCAGAGGGGATCGGGGTGGCGGGGGGGGACAGGGGACAAGGGACAGGGGTATTAGCGTGACAGGGGAACAGGGGATGGGGGTGGCAGGGGGGATTGGGGAGAGAGGGGGACAGGGGACAAGGGGGATCGGGGGGGCAGGGGGGACAGGGGACAGGGGACAGGGGGTGGCAGACGGGTTCGGGGTGCCAGGGAGGTGACAAAGTGAGGGGGACAGGGGGACAGGGCAGCAGCAGAGTGGCGGGGGGTGGCAGAGGGGACATGGGGACAGTGGGGAGGGGGAATAGGGTGGCAGAGGGGTGACGGGGACAGGAGGGGGGGTGGCGGGGTGGCAGAGGGGACAGGAGGGTGATGGGGGATTGGGGGTGGCAGGGGGTGGCAAGTGAGGGACAGGGGGACAGGGCTCGGCAGGGGACAGGGGGGTCACTGGGAAGGGGGGGGACACCCCAGGGGGACAGTGGAGGGGACAGAGGACATTGGGGGACCCTGGGATGACATCAGGGGTCTCCAAAGGGGACAAGGACCATGGGGGGGACCCCAGGGTGGCTTCAGAGAACCTTGAAGGTGACAAAGGCTTTTGGGGGACCCAGAGGAGGGGACAAGGGCCATGGGGGGGCCCCGGGGTGGCATCAGGAGACCCTGAAGGGGACACCAGGGGACCCCAGAGGGGACAAAGGCCATTGAGAACTCCAGGGAGGGGACAAAGGACACAGAGAACCCTGAGGAGGGGACAAGGGATGTGGCGGGGGGGGTGATAGAGGGGACAGGGCGGTGGCAGGGGACCCCAGAGGGGACAAGGGGCCACTGCCACCGTCCGTGTCCTTGTCCCCAGGTGTCCCCGGAGCTGCTGGAGCCGTTGGTGACTGTGGTGGCCGTGCTGGGCGAGCTGGGAGCCACCCCAGGGGACGTCCCCCTGGCCGGGCCAGCGGGCTCGCTGCGGGCTGGGCTGGTGGCCCTTGTGACCCAAATCTGCCGGGCCATGGGCCACCGTCACGGCGAGGCCACCCGCCTCCGTCGTGCTCTGGCCACCACAGGGGACGCCTGGGCCACCGTGGCAACCGTCACCCGCGAGTGGCGGGAGGCGGTGGCATCGGTGGAGGCCACCTGGGCCACGGTAGCCGGGGACGCCAGCCGCCTGCGGGACGCCTGCAAGACTGTGGCCACCGCGGGGGCCACCACCGGGGTCACCATGGGCCACCTGAAAGGGGCGCTGGACAAGGAGCACGAGGCGCGCTGGGATCTGCTGGCGACCACCCGGGCGCTGCCGGTGGCCTCGGAGTTGGCCACACTGGCCGAGGTGGTGACAAGCCACAGGACGCGAGTGGCCGAGGCCAGCGCGGGGCTGCAGGCGGCCACTGAGGCCACCGAGAAGGCGGCGGTGGCAACGGTGGGGAGTGTGGTGGCCAGGGAGCGGGGACGGCGGGCGGAGGTGGCCCAGGACCCCCTGGGACATTTGGTGGCTGCTTGTCACGGGGCCACCCTCTTCTACTGTCACCTGCGGTGCCGCCTCGAGGCCATCGAGGCCACCGTGGCCGCTGGACGTGGTGGCCCCGAGCCTCCCGGGGTGGCCCGGGAGGGTCTTGGTGTCCCCGAGGATCTGGTGGCAGCGGTGGCAGCGGCCGAGGCGCTGTGGGACACTAGCGCCCGCCTGGCCAAGGGCCACCTCCTGGGGACACTGCGGGTGGTCCGGGGGCTGCTGACCACCCTCAGTGTCCCTGATGCCACCGTGGCCGCCACCGTGGCCCAGCGCTGCCGGGATGCCACCGCTGCCCTCCCGGAGCTGCTGGCCCGGGCACCGCAGTAGGGGACAAGCGGCTTTGTTGGGGACCACCGACATCAACACGCCACCGCCGCAGTCCTGGTTCCGTGTCACTTTGTCCCCAGTGTGCGTCCCTGTTCCGCGTCTCCTCTGTCCCCACGTCCCCCCCCCCCGTGGTGTCCCCTCCCACGTGTCCACGTGTCACCTCTCCCTTCTCCCTCCCATGTGCCCTTTAAGTGTCCCCATGGGGGTTCCTGGTGTCCCCAAAGCCACCACAACCACACCAGGGGGGCGTGTGTGTGTGTCGAGTTGTCCCCATGGGGAAGCCCAACGTCCCCAAGGCCACCGCAGTGGCCCAAGAGGGTCCTGGTGTCCCCAGGGCCACCGCGGCCACACAGAGGGACCTCCTCCCCCGTGTCCCCTCCTGTGTCTCCTCTCACGTCTGTGTCCCCTGCCTCCCCCAAAAGCTGGGGGGGGGGTGTGGGGGGGTGGCGTTTGTGGCCCCTCACCCCATCAGAGAGGTGACACCCCTGTGTCCCCTCAAAACAGCGGGGGGGGATTTGGGGTCCCCCACCCGGGAGGTGACACCCCCTTGTCCCCCCCAAAAGGGGTGGGGAGGGGTTTGGGGTCCCCCACCCCACCGCGGAGGTGACAATCCCACGTGTGTGTGGGTGTCCCAAAAAGAGGGGACAGCGTGTGATGCCCCCCACAACCAGGGACACCCCCAAAAAGGGGGTTGGGGTCCCCCAGTTCCACCCCGGCGGTGACACCCTTGTCCCCGAACCCCCCAAATCACTTTTTTTTTTTCTTTTTTTTTTTGGCTGCTGAACCCCCTTTTTTTTCTCTTTATTGGCGGGTGGGGGGGGCCGCCGGGCGCCGCCGGGTCCCGGGGGGGTGGCGGGGGGATCCCCGGGGGGTTCCCCGACTCCTCCCACGCGCCGTCACCTCCCCGGAATCGTTGGCGGGGGGGTGGCGAAGGGCCCCGTGTCGGCCGGTAGGAACGTGGGGAGCGGGGTTCGGGGGGGCCCCGCCGGAGGGCGGGGGGGTCAGGAGGAAAGGTCCCAGCTGGAGGCGCTGGCGCAGGAGCCCCGTCAGCAGCAGCTCGGCCGAGGCCAAGGGCAAACGGGCGCCCAGCGCCGGGGCCCAGCACCCCGCGTCCGCCTCGCACGAGATCACCAGGCGCCGCGGCTGGCGGGGGGGGACGACACACGGAATTTTTTTTTTTTTGGGGGTCCATTTCCACCCCCCCCCCCCAGCACCCCAAGACTTTTGGGGTCCCCCAGGATCCCGGCGCAAGGAGCCCCTGGGGTGCTCTGATCCCTCCCCTCGCCCCGCAGTGGGATCCCCACCCTTTTAGGAACCCCCCCCGAAGCACCTCCCACTCCAGGACCCCCCCAAACCCCAGTGGGACCCCCCTCAAATCCCAGTGAGACCCCCCAGCACCCCATCAACCCAAATGGGACCCCTCCCCGATACCCTCAGGTTGTCCTGATGCTCCCCCCTCCCAGGACACTCTGACTTCCCCCTCAGGGACCCCCAGGACCCCCCAACCCCAATGGGGACCCCTCAGATACCCTGAACCCCGCCCTAAACCTCCCCAGGATCCCCCAACCCCAATGGGGACCCCCCAAGACACCTCAGATACCCTGAACCCCCCCCCCAAACCTCCCTAGGAGACCCCAACCCCAATGTGAACCCCCCCAAGACCCCTGGGACACCCTGACCCCCCCCCCCCCGGGACCCCTCAACCCCAACAGGTCCCCCCCAAACCCCCTTGGGAGCCCCCAAGTCCCCCTGATGCCTGTCCCCACCCTCCTTGGGGCCCCCCATGTACCCCCCAATGGCTTTGGGACACCCCTCAGTGTCTCCCTGACACCCCTTTAGTCCCCTCCCTGGTGGCTCTGGGACCCCAATGTCCCCCCAATGTCCCTCTGGGTCCCCTCCCTGGTGGCTCTGGGTCCCCAATGTCCCCCCATGTCCCCTCACCCCATAGGTGTGGGGCATGGTGGGCAGGAAGGTGCCACCACTGCAGGTGACGATGTCCCTCATGTGCTCGGGCTCGGGGCGGACGTTGGGGGTGACGTGGACCTCGTAGCCCTGGGGACACCGAGGGGACACACCCCTGAGCCCCTGGAACGTCCCCCGGGGGTCAAGGACACTTTGGGGACAGTGGGAAGGCACCAGGGGACACTAAGGGAGACGAGGGGACACCCCGCGGGGCTGGACTGGGGTTAGATGGGGGTGACACAGTTTGGGGGGACCAAGGACACTTTAGGGGACAGGGGGACACCGTGGGGACACCAGGAGAGGAGGGGACACCCCTCTGGCCATCCCAGATGGGACTGAGGCCACGTGGTGGGGACTTAACTCAATGGGGGGGGGGACACACGACACACAAGGACACTTGGGGACACCGGGTGACATCAGGTGACATCCCCTTGGCTGCCCGGCGCCGAGTCCCCCGTGGGTGCCCCACTCGGTGAGGGGGACAGGGCCACCCGCGGCGGTGGGGGGTGTTCAGGGGCCCTCAGGGAGGGTCAGGGGGACAGCGGGGAAGGGTTGGGGACAGTTGGGGACGGTCACCTGGAGCAGGGGGTGGCAGCGGGCGCGGCGCAGGGCCTGGGCCAGGCTGAAGCCGAAGTGACGCTCCTGCTGGTTGTCACGCACCAGGAAGGGATCCGGTGCCAGGACGTGGCCACTGTGGGAGCTCTGGGGACACGGGGGGGACACACACGCACGGTGGCACCCCTGACCCCAGGGACCCCGTCCCTTTGTCACCCAAAGCCCCCCTGTCCCCGAGGATCCCACCCCCGTGTCTCCAAGGTCTCCTCTTGTCCCCAAACACCCCTCTCCCTTGTCCCTCACAACCCCCCCGTCCCCAAGGACCCCTCCTTTGTCCCCAAACCCCCCCCCCCGTCCCCAAGGACCCCTCCTTTGTCCCCAAAACCCCCCCTGCCCCCAAGGACCCCTCCTTTGTCCCCAAAACCCCCCCTGCCCCCAAGGACCCCTCCTTTGTCCCCAAGGACACCATCCCCTGTCCCCAAGGACCCCTCCTTTGTCCCCAAACCCCCCCCCTGCCCCCAAGGACCCCTCCTTTGTCCCCAAAACCTCCCCTGCCCCCAAGGACCCCTCCTTTGTCCCCAAACACCCGCCCTGTCCCCAGGGACACCTTCCCCTGTCCCCAACACCTTTGTCCCATGTCCCCAAGGGCTCTCACGTCCCCAAGAAACCCCGCTCCCCGGCCCCACGGACTCCCCCGTGGTCCCCAAATCCCCTTCCCTGTCCCCCACCCCCCGGGACCTTGTGGAGCCACTCAGGGGTGACAATGGGGATGCCGCGGGCCACGGCACAGAGGAACTTGACGGTGCGTCGGACGCGGTCGGTCACCAGGTGGGTGCAGTCGAAGACGGAGGTGGCCATGGACCCCCCCAGCGTCCTCAGGGCCACCTCCATCGCCGGGGAGGCCACCACCGCCGTGAACAGCACCTGAGGATACCACGGGGACACGTTGGGGACATCCCTGGGGTGGCCACCACCCCTGTGAGGAGCACTTGGAGATGTGGGGACACCACGGGGGGACGTCCCTGGGGTGGCGACCAGCCCTGTGAAGAGCACGTGAAGACATGGGGAGGCCACGGGGACATGTTGGGGACATCCCTGGGGTGGCCACCAGCCCTGTGAGGAGGACCTGGGGACACCATGGGGACACCCCTGGGGTGGCCACCACCCCTGTGAGGAGGACCTGGGTATGTGGGGACACCATGGGGACACGTTGGGGACATCCCTGGGACCACCCCACCCCCATGAACAGGACCTGGGGCCACCACAGGGACAACGCAGGGGGACCATGGGGACACTCAAGGGTGGCACTGGGGGTCACACCGGGACACCTCAGGGTGCAGCTCCCCCTTCCCACAATACCTTGGGGGGGGCGGAGCCAGGGGCCTCCCGGGGGCGGAGGTGGGGCCTGGTGACTTCTGGCAGCTGCTTATCTTCCTTCTGGGGGGGCGGAGCTGTGGCATGAGACCCCGCCCCTTCTCCACAAGCCCCTCCCACCCCCCCTTAAACCACACCCCAACTCCTGTCTCCACCAACCAGCAGCTACAAGGGGTGGGGCCCACCCCCAAGACCACACCCCCGAGACCACACCCCCGAGACCACACCCCCGAGTTTTGGCCCCACCCCCACCCACGTAGGCTCCACCCACATGGAACAGGCCCCACCCACCCCCATAGCCACACCCACCTCAGCTTGCTTCTGTGATGGGGCAGGGCCTGCCCGACAGGGGCGTGGCTTGGCGGGGGGGCATGACTCTGCTTGACCCCGCCCCTTTGCAGCCGGCGGTGGGTGGGGCTGGAGGCGGGGGCTGCGCCGTGGGGGGGCGGTGACAGAGGACACTCCACCCCTCCCCTTGCTGGCTCCGCCTTTGCCAGAGGCTCCGCCCCCCGTGGCTCCTCCCCCTCGGTTCCTGGCCAGGCGCTGGCTGCGGCGGGGCCCAGCCCCGAGCTGGGGGATTTAGTTTTTTTTTGGGGGGGGGGGGGGGGGGGGGGGGAGGAGGGGGGGGTTGGGGGTGTCAGTGCCCGGATGCCTGGGTCCCCTCAAAGAGGGGGGGGGCACCCGGACACTTGGGTCCCCTCAAACTCACCTCCGCTGTCCCCTCCTGGGCCGGTGTCACCACCACCGGCTCCGTTGGGGGGACGCTGGCACTCGGGGGGTCCTGGGGGGGGTGCGGGGGGGGCTGCTCTTCCTCCTCCTCCTCTTCCTCCTCCTTCTCCTTGGGGGGCCAGAAGGGTTGGGTGGGCTCCTCGGGGTCCCAAGCTGGGGCTGCGCCTGTGGGAGAGCCACGCTGGGGACCCGGGTGTCCTAAGGGGGGGGGGACACGACACTCAAGTGTCTGGGGTGGGGGGGGGACACACTTGGGTGTCTGGGGACACACACCCCAAGGTGTCCAGGTCACCTACCCTTGGCCACCGGTGACAAAAAGTTCTGGGTGGGCTCCAAGAAGAGGTCGGGATCATCTGGGGGGGGGGGGAAGAGCCTTGAGAAGGGGCCCAGATGTCTGGGGGAGGTGGGGGGGGGACACACACACAAGTGATTGGCCGGGGGGACACACGACACCCCCCACTCACCCTCGGTGTCACTCTCTGTCACCGCCGCACCGGTGGCCCCGGCTCCACCCTCAGCATCAGCGGCGACGCCCCAAGTTGCGCCGGGCTGTGGGGGGGCTTGGGGGGCGGGCACAGATTTGAGGGGAAAACTCTGCCTTTCTGGGGACGATCGGCAGCGGTTGGGGTCCGTCGCCGCTGCTGCGCCGCCTGTCGCGGGGCCCACAACATCTGGAGGGGGTGGATCTTGGAACTGGATTCGGCTCACAACATCTGGAGTGGGGGCATCTTGGAACTGGACTCGGCTCGGAACATCTGGAGTGGGGGCCACCTCCTCTACGTCGGTGTCGCTGCTATGCCGGGGGCTCGTGGGGGGGGGAACATCTGGATTTGGTGACGTCGCCACCACATCTGGGGCACCCGGTGCCCCTCGACACCCTTGCGGTGTCCCAACGTCTGGAATGACAGCACTGTCCTCAACATCTGCGTCATTGTCCACATTCAGGACCGGGCACTGGGCTTTGGGGGCTCCAACATCTGGATTTGGGAACAGGGCGTCCACATCTGGGTTGTCATTGGTCCGCATCCGCCCCTCGGGGTCAACATCTGGAGCAGCTGTAGCCGTGACTTCATGGGTTGCCACGTGTAGTTTTGGAGCTGCAGCATTGGCAAGGGCGCTGAGGTCCTCCACATCTGTATCGCTGTCACCACTTGAGGCCACTGAGTCACGGCTGAGGCTGCCAACATCTGGATTTGGGGTCTCCATCACCACAGTCGGGTGCTTCTGGGTGTTTTGGGGGGTTTTGTGGCTTTTTGGACCTTGATTCAGGTTGTCGTCTTCTACATCGGTGTCACTGTCCACCTCTAGGATCCAATGTTCGTTTTGGGTTCCTTTAACATCTGGATTTGGGGTTCTAATATCAACATCTGGGTCTTTGTGGGCAATTATACGGGTTTTTGGACACCTGACATCTGGATCCACCTCATTCTCCTCCACATCTGTATCGCTGTCCACCACAAGTGTACAGTGTTTGCTTTGGGGACCATCAACATGTGGATTTGGTCTCTTCGTCTCCACATGGGGGTTTCTCGGCACATTTTGGGTTGCTTGATGGGTTTTTGGAATCCCAACATCTGGATTAGAAGTGTCCTCCTCCACATCTGTATCACTCTCCACCAGGAGAGTCTGCCCCCCTTCAACTTCTTGATTTGTGGTCTTGGCCTTCACTTCTGGGTCTCTGGGGGCTGTTCTGTGGCTTTCTGGACACCCAACATCTGGATTGGAAGTGTCCTCCTCCACATCTGTGTCGCTCTCCACCATGAGCACCCGATGACCCTTTTGTGAACCTTGCACATCTGCATTTTGCATCGCCACCTCAACAGTTTGGGGTTTTGCGACGGTTTGGGTTCTCTGATGGGCTTCACGGTACCCAACATCTGGATTGGCTCCATTCTCCTCCACATCTGTATCGCTGTCCACCATGAGCATTGGATGTCCCTCTTGTGAACCTTCAACATCTGCATTGTGGGTCTCCATCTCAATATCTTGGACTTTGGGTATATTTTGGGGGTAACTAACACTTGGACAAGCTCTGTCCTCCTCCACATCTGTATCGCTGTCCACCACGAGCATCTGATGTCCGTTTTTGGGCCCTTCAACAGCAGAGTTTGAGCTCTCCATCTCCTCCACATCCGTATCACTGTCCACCAAAAATGTCCGACATCTCTTTTTGGGACCTCCAACATCTGGATTCAGAGGCTTCACCTCCACACCTGGGGGGTTTGGTGCGTTTTGGGCCATTTGCCGCATTTTTGTGCTCTCAATGTTGGGAAAAAAATCAGCTTCTTTCACATCTGTGTCACTGTCCACCACAAGCATCTGACACCCATTTTCTGCACCTCCAACATCTGGATTCGGGCCCTTTTCATCCACATCTGGATCAACATCTGAACCTGCCACCTTTGGGGGATTCTGATACTGACTCAGGGGTTGAACATTTGGAACAGCTGTTTTTCTCCCCACATCTGGATCTGGGGTGGTTTTGGGGCCGAAACGGCGCTTTTTGGGCCCCCCGATGTTTGGGTCTGGACAGGGTGTGGCCACATCTGGGAGGTGGCCCCATGGGCGAGTACGGCAGCGTTTTCGGGGCCTTGGAACAGCTGGGTGCACATCTGGCTCCTCCGGGTCACTGCAGAGGTGGATGTTGGGGGGTTCAAGCATCAGGGCTCACCCCTCGAAAGGACCCAAAGATCCTGAACCCCCCGAAGACAAACAAGTTTTTGGGCTTCACTCACCTCTCTAAAACAACTCGGGGTGAGGCAGCACCTCTGAGGGCAAGGCCTGAGGGAGTGGAGCACCCATCGTTATTGTAGGGCCTACAGTAACTCCAGAGGATCCTACCCCACCCAGGCATCTGGGCTGACCTCCCTCCTCCCCCTCCCCATCGTGGTGGTTCCTACGATGACACAACGCTGGTGTTTACGTAGGTCCTACCACAACCACCACCTCTTTGTGTTTCTGTAGGCCCTACGATAACGGCGTGTTCCTCCCCGCCCCCGGTCCCCCCCAAGCCCTCGCGCACTTACGCCGCGGCACCTCGTCGTCCTCCGAGTCGCTGGCGAGGGGGGGCCCTGGCTCCAGCCTCTGCCCTATAGAGAACCCATGCGTCGGAGGGGGGGCTGCAGGACGCCCCCCTCCATGGGGACCCTGACTTTTTTTGGGGACACACACACACGACACCTACCTGTGTTCCCCACGGTGCTGAGGTCTTGGTGGTGCCTTCGGTGCATGGTCTGAGGGGGGGGGGGGAACAACTGCCCCATGGAAACAACTCCACCGCCCCCCCCCGACCCTACGTGCCCCCCAAACTGCCCCCCCCTCAGATACAGCTGCCCTCCCCTCCCCCCCCAAATGCCCCTTGGTCACCACTGATCTCCCCACTTGGGTCCAATGTACCCCCACAATGACCCCCCCCATACTCCAGATGCCCCATGGCTCCTTATGCCCCCCCTGTTTTTTAACTGCCTCCTCAAATTGCCCTCCCCGGCCCTATACCCTATCGCAGGGATCCCCCCAAATTGCCCCAACTACCCCAGGGACTCCCCAAATTGCCCCCCCCCCCAACTGCCCCAGAAACACTCTGAACTGCCCCACCCCCCTTCTAAGCGCCCTGCACCCCACGCAACTGCCTCAGGGACCCCCAAACTGCCCCCCCGAGCCCCCAAACTGCTCCTCGAGCCTCCATAATGCCCTCCCCGAGCCCCTGAGCCCCCAAATGGCCCCCGAGCCCCCAAACTGCCCCCACGAGCCTCCAAACCCCAAAATTGCCCCCTTGAGCCCCCAAACTGCTCCCTCCGAGCCCCCGAGCCCCCAAACCCCCAAACTGCCCCCCCGAGCCCCCAGATCCCCAAACCGCCCCACGGAGCCCCAGCACTCACCCCCTCCCGCTCCACCGCCCCTCTTTCCCCGCCCTCCCGGCTCTATTGGCCGGCGCCACCGCGCGTCACCGCCCAAAGGCCGCTCCCATTGGATACCGCGCCAGTCCCTCCAGAGCGGAGCATAGAGGGGAGCGGGGACAGTCCTCCGAGCGTGGCAGCGAGGCTTGTGGGCGGTGCTACGGTAGGAGCAAAACGCCCGCCTCTAACCATAGAGAGGTGGCAGAGCGGCCCCGGTGAGGGGGCGGTGCTAACAGCGAGAAGGGGTGCGGCCTCCCGCCCGTCTCGTCCAATGGGAGCGCGGCGATCGGGCGGTGCCGTCCAATCAGAGCGCGGGGCCGGCCGCCGCCGCTTTGTCTATATGAGGTGCCGCGGTGCCGCGGGAGCCGCCATTGTCGCCGCCGCCGCGCTCACAACAGCGCTCCCGTCTTAAAGGGGCTGCGCCACCGAATCGCCCAGCCAGACCGGGTGGGGCCCACCTTTCCGGCACCGTCACCATGAGGGAGATCGTCCACATCCAGGCGGGCCAATGCGGCAACCAGATCGGGGCCAAGGTGAACAGCGAGCGGGCGGCGTCGGGTCGAGGGGGTGACACCTTCCCCCCCCCCCCCCTTCCTTTTTACACCGCGGCGCGGCCCCTTTTAAGAAGCCCCTCCCCCTCCGCGCGCAGACAAAGGTGGACCCGAATCGGGGCGATTTCAGCCTAAAATAGCGCCTTTTCCGCCCGCCGAGGGTCAGAAATGAAAGGCGCGGCCCCGAAATAACAGGTTCGGCCTCGGAATGAAAGAGATTCAGCCCCAAAATGGAGGTTTCCGGCCACAAAATGGGGGCGCCCCGCCCCTCCCCCCCTTCTCACGCGGCCCCAAAATGGCGGTTTCCCGCCTCGCCTGAGGGCAGCGGCCCCCGGATGCATCTTTTCAGACCCAAAATGGCACTTTTTCCTCCCCCCAAAAGTTACTTTTTCGGCCCTTTAAATTTCCCCATTACGATGTTCGACCCCAACAATTGATATTTTTATCTCGATTAGGGAATATTCAGCCTTAAAACGGGAGGCTAAAGCCTAAAAGCTGGGCGAGAGAGCCCCAAAATAGGGGTTTTTCACACACACTATCCCCAAACGATGTTTTAAAACCCGAAATGGTGCTATTTTTATTTCAAAAAGAGCGGCATCCCGCCCTTTGCAGCTTATCGAGCCCCAGAAAATGGCGGGTGATGGCTCCCCAAAAGGTTTTGCACCCGTTTAATTGGGTATTTTCACCGCCGCATAGGTGCTTTCCACTTTAAACCGAGAGTTTTGTGCCCCAAAATAAAGATTTCTGCCCCCAAATGGGGCGTGCCGCCCACGGTGCTTTTAGCCGCAAAACGGGGGTTCTCCGCCTTTAGAGGATACTGAAGCCCGATATAAATGTTTTCGGCTCCAAAATAGGGGCGCGCCGTCTCTCAACAAGCTCTTTTTGTTCCCAGAATGGGTATTTTTTACCCCTGAAGTGTGATCTTTTTGTCCTGAAACGTTCTCCTTTTCAGCCATAGAAGGGTTTTGGGATGCAAAATGGAGGGGTTTCACCCCTAAATGGTGAGGTTTAGCCTCAAAATCGGACTTTCCGGCCCCAAAATGGCGGCTTTTCGGCCTCGGAATAAGCTTTGTTCCCTGGAATGGAGTTTTTAGCCCTAAAATGGGCATTTCTGATACCCAAAAGAGATTCCAGCTCTGCAGTAAAGTCTTTTAGTCGTAAATGAATTTTCTTGTCCTCAAAGTGGATTTTTTTTTAGTGCCGAAGTAAGGTTTTCTGCTCCAAACATGATTTTCTGCACCCAAAATGGAGGTTTTTCAACCTCAGAGTAAGATCTTTGTTCTCTGAAATGTCATTTTTCTGTGCCCAGCTTTATTTTTGCCCCAGAATGGGCTTTTGAGGACCAAAAATGAGCTTTTCTGCACCCAAAAGGATTTTTTTTCACTCTGAAGTGGAATTTTTTGCAGATAGGAGATTTCAGCCCCCAAAATGGAGGTGTCCAGCCCCAAAATGGAGGTCTTTGGCACAAGAATAGGATCTTTGTGCTCCCAAGTGCATATTTTTCTGCCCAAATTAGGGGGTTTTGCTCCAAAAATTCAGATTTTTGACCCCCAAATAGGTGCTTTTTGATGCCAATAGTGCTTTCGGCTCCAAAATGGATGTTTTAGGCCTCGGAATAGGTTCTTTTAAATTCCTGAATATTTTTTTTTCTGCTTCACAATAGGGTTTTCTGCCCTGAGACATTTTTTCCAGCCCTAAATTATTTTTTTACACCTAAATCAGGCTTTCCCCTTCCAAATGACAATTTTTCTATTAAAATGGACGTTTTCAGCTCCAGAATAGGATCTTTGTGTCTCTAAACGGAGGGTTTCAGCCCCAGAATAGGATCTTTGTTCTTTGAAATGTCTAAACTGAGGCTTTTTTACTCCAAAAAGCATTTTTCTGCCCCGGAATGGTGTTTTTAACCTCACAGCAGCAATTTTTAGCTCCAGAATAGGCTTTCCTCACTCCAGAATTAATATTTTTTTGCATCTCCAGATTAAAACCTTTTTTTTTTTGCCTAGGGGCATTTTCTTAGCTCCCAAACCAGACTTTTCATCCCCAGAATTGGTTCTTTTCCCCCCCAAGTTTAACTTTTTCAGCACATAATCAAAATTTTAGCTGCAAAATGTTCTTTTTCTGCCCCAAAGCGGCATTTTTCAACAGATACTGTAATTCTAGTTCATGAAAACCTGCAGTGCTTGAATGCCTGTACATGAGGTTTTCAGTTTGCAGAATGATGTTTTTTTAACCCAAATTGCTGGTTTTAACCCATTCTGTCTCCATCACCACCAAATTTGTGGGGTTTGGCCTCTTTTCCCCTGCAGGGCGTGGTCCTGTTCCCCCCCGCCCCCCCCATGACCTTGCGGGGGTGTCAGGGTCCCCAGGGTGCCAGCCCCTCCCCCATCCTTTGTTCCCAGCCGCCCCACCCGCAGATTTTGAGGAGGGAAATGGGAATTTCAGAAATTTTTCTTTTTTTTTCTTTTGGAGGTAAAAGGTATTTTGAGGGGGGAGAGAAATGACAAATTTGGGGAGTTTCTGAAATTAAACATCTTAGGAAGCGCATTTGCGATTCAAACGGAGTTTCCGGTTCCCGCCTGCCCGTTTTTTTTTTTTGTTTTTTTTTTTTTTTTTTTTTTTTGGAGGGGGGTGGGTGGGTGTGGTTAAGCCCGAGTTTGGACACGCCCCTGCGGGTGGTGAAGCCCCGCCCATTTGGGGGTGGACCCTGCCCCTGGGAAGCAGACCCCGCCTCCCCTCGGGGTTGGCTCTGCCCCCAGGGTTGGGCTTCCTCTGGGAGTGGCTCTTCCATTGTGACCCCGCCCCTTCGGCACCGTGCCCCACCCACCCCAGGCTGGCTCCTCCAATAAGATTCCATGCCATTTCAAGGCTCAGCCCTCAGGGTTCATTCTTTCAATGAGGCTTCCCTTCCTACAGGCTCCATCCCTTTGGACACCCCCCCCCCCATCTCCACCCCCTATATAGGCCCCTCCCACCCCAATAATGGCCCCACCTGCCCCAAAGGCCAGTCCCTGAGGGTGGGCAGAGCCTTTCTGACCCCGCCCCCTGTCCCCCAGTTCTGGGAGGTGATCAGCGATGAACATGGCATCGACCCCACCGGCACTTACCACGGCGACAGCGACCTCCAGCTCGACCGCATCAGCGTCTACTACAACGAGGCCACCGGTACAGTGTCACCCTGTCACCCCCCAGTGTCACCCCTCTGTCCCCATCCCTCTCCACCCACGCCTGACACGCTCAGCTCACCCATTCCCCTCTCCACACCCTCCACCTCCTCGGGTTTTGGGTTGGTTTCCGGGGGTCTTTAGGGGTGGGGAGGTGACGCAGTGTCACTGTCCCCACACTGGTCACATGGCAATGTCCCCCCAGGGGGTAAGTATGTGCCAAGAGCCATCTTGGTGGACCTGGAGCCAGGAACCATGGACTCAGTGCGCTCAGGACCTTTCGGGCAGATCTTCCGGCCAGACAACTTCGTTTTTGGTGAGTCCGGGTGTCCCGTGGGGTCCCCCATGTTCCCCCCACCGTGTCCTTTTAGGTGACCCTGGGTGCCCATCATGGCAGGGTGGCAGTTTCCTTCGTTTGGTGGCTGTGAAGCTGCCAACGGTGAGCACCTTTGGGTGACTGTTGCCATGGGGTGGGGTGGTGGGTCCCCCACTGTCCCGGCCCATGGGTGGCCTTCCCCGTGGAATGATCCATCTCTCCTTGGTGGCCCTCAGGTGCTTGTCATGGTGGAGTGGCAGGTCCTTATTGTCTGCTTCTTGGTGGCCAGGGTCTCCCCCTGTGTCTTCAGAGCTGTATTCCTTTGGTCTGGGAGGGTTATTGGGGTTCTCAAAGGGGTTGTGGGGTCCCCAAATCATGCGGGGGGAGGGTCCCCTAGGAGATGGACGTCTCTCAGGAGCTCAGAGTGCCCACAGGTGGCATGGAGATACCCAAAGAGAATGGTGGAGGTCTGTGAAGAGCTTTAGGGTGGGGTGCATGTCCCCAAGAAGGGTAACAAGAGCACCCCAAGGTGCTTGGAGGTCCCCAGGAGTTTGGACAGAGGTCCTTGAGCTGCTCAGGATGCCCAAGGTTGGCATGGAGATGGAGAGGGAGGGTGAAGGAAGTCCCCAGGGACCTCAAGAGTGGGCTAGGAATCTCAGAGGAGGATAGAAGTCTCCCAAGAGTCAGGTAGAGGTACCCAATAAGGGCGATGGAGGTGTTCAGGGTTCTTGAGGGTGGGATAAAGGTCCTCAGGGTTGGCCTGGAGGTAGGCAAGAAGAGCAGTCAGGGTCCCCTAGGCTCTTTAATGTCCCCAAGGGTTTGCTGGATGTCTTCAAAGACAGTGATGGATATCCCCAAGAAGCATAAAGTCCCCATGCGTGGGCTGGAGGCCCCCGAGGTGGGTGATAGAGGTCCTCAAGGTTGTCCTGAAAGCCCCCAAACTGAGAAGGAAAGTCCCCCAAAGACCTCAGTTTCCCCCAGGGACCTCCTCCATGATGTCCCTACCCTGTCCCCGCCCCAGGCCAGAGCGGCGCTGGCAACAACTGGGCCAAGGGTCACTACACAGAAGGGGCCGAACTGGTGGACTCAGTCCTGGACGTGGTGAGGAAGGAAGCGGAGAGTTGCGACTGCCTCCAGGGCTTCCAGCTGACCCACTCGCTGGGTGGTGGCACCGGCTCTGGCATGGGCACCCTCCTCATCTCCAAGATCCGCGAGGAATATCCCGACCGCATCATGAACACCTTCAGCGTCGTCCCGTCCCCCAAGGTCTCGGATACGGTGGTGGAACCCTACAACGCCACCTTGTCTGTCCACCAGCTGGTGGAGAACACGGACGAGACCTACTGCATCGACAACGAAGCCCTCTATGACATCTGCTTCCGCACCCTCAAGCTGACCACCCCCACCTACGGGGACCTCAACCACCTCGTCTCGGCCACCATGAGCGGCGTCACCACCTGCCTCCGTTTCCCCGGCCAGCTCAACGCCGATCTTCGCAAGTTGGCCGTCAACATGGTGCCCTTCCCGCGTCTCCATTTCTTCATGCCCGGTTTCGCTCCCTTGACGTCACGCGGCAGCCAGCAGTACCGCGCCCTCACCGTCCCCGAGCTCACCCAGCAGGTCTTCGATGCCAAAAACATGATGGCCGCCTGCGACCCGCGTCACGGCCGTTACCTCACGGTGGCCGCCGTCTTCCGAGGCCGCATGTCCATGAAGGAGGTGGACGAGCAGATGCTCAACGTGCAGAACAAGAACAGCTCGTACTTCGTCGAGTGGATCCCCAACAACGTCAAGACGGCCGTTTGCGACATCCCGCCGCGCGGCCTCAAGATGGCCGTCACCTTCATCGGCAACAGCACGGCCATCCAAGAGCTCTTCAAGCGCATCTCGGAGCAGTTCACGGCCATGTTCCGCCGCAAAGCCTTCCTCCACTGGTACACGGGCGAGGGGATGGACGAGATGGAGTTCACCGAAGCCGAGAGCAACATGAACGACCTCGTCTCGGAGTACCAGCAGTACCAAGATGCCACCGCCGAGGAGGAGGAGGACTTCGGCGAAGAGGCCGAAGAGGAGGCTTGAGGGAGAGTCATCCTTGGAGAGCCCTCATCATCCTCGGAGAGCCCTCGTCCTTCAGTGTTGTCCTTGGAGAGCCCTCATCCTTCGCCGTCATCATCTTCGGAGAGCCCTCATCCTTCACCGTTGTCCTTGGGGAGCCCTCGGCCTTCAGCGTCATTGTCCTCGAAGAATCCTTGTCCTTCATCATCCTCCTCAGCCTTCATCAGTGTCCTCGGGGAGCCCTTGATCTTCATCGTTGTCTTCAGCCTTCATCAGTGTCCTCAGCCTTCGGTCTCACTGTTGCCCCCAGAAAGCCATCATCATCATCGTTGGAGAGCCCTTGGCCTTCATCATCATCCTCGGAGAGCTCTTCCTCTTCACCATTGTCACCAGGAAGCCTCAGCCTTTTGTCATTGTCACCAAAAAGCTCTTGGCCTTCACCGACATCACTGGAAAGCTCTTGGCCTTCATCAAGGTTGTCCCCAAAGCCCTCAGACCTTCGCTGTTGTCACTGGAGAGCCCTTGGCCTTCATCATCCTCAGAGAGCCCTCGGCCTCTGTCATTGTCCTTGGAGAGCCCTCGGTCTTCACCAGTGTCGTCAACACCGGAGAGTCCTTGCCCTTCGTCATCGTCACCAGAGAGCCCCAGTCCTTCATGGTCAGTGAAGAGCCCTTCATCATCGTCACCAGAGAGTCCTCGTCCTCGCAGAACCCCCTGTCCTTCATCATCGTCACCGGAGTCCTCATCCTCGCCGCGTCCCCGTCCTTCGCCACCATCTTTGTCACCGCAGTCCCCCTCCCCTCTCTGTTGTCACCAGAAGGCCCCTTGTCACTGGCAGAGCCACCATCCCTTCCACGTCACCCCCCCTCAGCCCCGTATCCCGCCCCCCCCCCGGGGGTGACATCACCGCTAAATTATTGCAGCCCCTGGGGCACTAATTTGCTCCCGTTTCCACCCAAAACCACCACTCCAGCTGCAGGGGGCTCCCGGGTGGCCCTGTCCCCTGTGTCCCCAACCAGGGGCTCTCCTGTCCCTGTGTCCCGTCCCCACCTCATCCATCCCGCTTTGGTTCATTTTTCCCCTTTTTAAGCTTTCCCCCCCACCACCTTTTTTTCTTTTTTTTTTTTGTTTTTCATATTGAAAAGCCGCCCCCGGGCGAGGAATAAACCCGGGATGTAAAGCCACCACTGTGTCCCTTGTCCCCTTCCTGTCCCCATGTCGTGGGGTGTCCCTGGGGCCCTCCGGGTCCTTTTTGAGGGTCTCCGTGGGGGGTTGGGTGTCCCAGTTGTGTGTGTCCCCCCCCCACTCCTGGGTGACCCCAACGTCCTTCCTGTCCCCCTCCTGGGGGGGTGCCCCTGTCCCCCGTGTCCCCCTCTGGGGTCTGCTCTCATCTATGTGTCACCTCTGGTGGCCCCCACCCCAAGTCCTCCACCCGATGTCCCCACATCCCCCTGCCAGAATGTCCCTTCAAGGGTGACCCACCCCCGTCCCTCCCCGTGTCCCCAAATCCCTCCCCCCCCCAAGGGACCCAGGTCTGTCCAGTGCAGACGCTGCAGCTTTAATGATTTGGGGACATAGCCCCCACCCTGGGGACACCCCCAACCCCTGATAGATGGGAGGGTGGTGGCACAGAGCAGGGGATGGCACTGAGCCTTGGTGGCACTTTGGGGACACGGAAGCGCTGTGGGGTTGTGGGGGCGGGGCACAGTGTCATTGTGGCAGTTGGGGGACATGGTGGCACCGTGGGGGTAGTGGCACTTGGGGGACATGGAGGCACCAGGGGCTCGTGGCACTTGGGGGACACTATTGCTGGGAGGTGGTGGCACTTGGGCAGGACAGGCGCCAAGGGGTGGTGGCACCGTGGGGACGGGGGCGCCAAGGGGTGGTGGCACCTGCCCAGGCAGGGTGGCACCAGTGTCTGGTGGCACTTCGGGGACACGCTGGCACTGGCTCAAGCCTGGCACTCCGCCTTCTTCTGGTTGGCCTGTGGGGACAGAGGGGGAGTGAGGAGTGGCCCCGGGTGTCCCCGTGTCCCGTTCCCACCCCCCCCCCCCCCAGGGACCCCCCACGTCCCGTCCCCTCCCCGAGGGGACCCAGGTGTCCGGGCGCACCTGGGTGACGCTGACGCCCGTGAGAGCCTCGACGGCAGCGGGCAGGCGGGTGACGACGTCCAGGATCTCCCCCGGGAGCCGCGACACCCCGATGTCCCCGGAGCCGCCGGCCACCAGCGTCACTCGACGCGTCCCCAACAGTGGCTGCGCTACCGCCTCCGCCACCTGCCCCCCAAAACAGTGGCTTTCACCCCAAAATCCGCAGCACCGCCATCCCCCTACCGCTGCCTGTTCCAAAATCATCACGTTTCCTGCTGAAATGCTCCCTCAGGACCCCCGAAGCCCCCTGAACACACCCCAAAGTCCCCAAATCTCACCCCAAAATCTGCCTCCTGCACCCCCAGATCTCACCCCAAAATCTTAATAGCACCTCAAATTCCCCAGATTTCGCCCCCAAAATCTGCCTGTAGTGCCCCCAATCCCGCCCCTAAATCCCACCCCCATTGCTGCCTGTTCCAAAATCACCCAAGTTTCACCCCAGAATATTCAGTTGGCATCCCCAAACCCCCAGATCGCACCCCAAAATCTAATGGTACCCCAAATTCCCCCGGTCTCACCCCAAAATCTCCCTGTGGCACCCCCAAATCCCTCCTTTCCATCGCTGCCTGTTCAAAAACCATGTTTCACCCCAAAATAATCCGTCGGTACCCCTGAATCCTCTGATCACACCCCAAAATCCCACGATCTCACCCCAAAATCTGCCCACAGCAGCCCCACATCCCCCTTGCTCCACCAGTTCCATGAAATCTCCACATTCCACCCCAAAAATTCACCTTTGGTACCCCCCAAACCCACGCATCTGCTCACCACCTCTGCCACCTGCCCCCAAATCCCCTCATTTCACCCCAAAACCTGGCTCTGGAACCCACAAATCTTCTCCGTGCACAGTTGTCCCGGAATGGTCGTTTTTCACCCCAAAACTACCCCTTTGCCCTCCCCAATTCTTCCCTCTGCCCCTCCCAGAGTGCCCCCGCCCCACAGGGGCATCCCAAAACACCTGGGACCACAGAATATCCCGTGGGGACCCCCCCCAAGCTGCCCCCACCCAATGGAGGGACCCCAAATCACCCTGTGGGACCCCAAAAAGCCCCATGGGGACCCCAAATATCCCCCCTTGAGACCCCCAGATACCCCACAGAGACACCAAATCCCCCACAGGGCCCCCCCAAATCCATGGGTGGGGGGCCCAAATCCCCACCTTGAGACCCCCCCAGACACCCCATAGGGACCCCGAATCCCCACTGGGACACCCCTAAACTACCCCTACTCCAGAGGGGAAACCCCAAATCCATGGGGAGGTAGTGGGGGGGCCCAAAATGTCCCCCTGAGACCCCCAGATACCCCATGGGGACCCCCAACTCCCCCAGGGCCCCTTCAAACCACTCCCACCCCACAGTAGGGACCCCAAATCCACTGGGGGGGCGTTGGGAGAGACAAACCCCCCCCCCCCCCCCCCAATACCTGGGGCAGCCGCTGCAGCACCATGTCGACCACGGCGGCCTCCTGGTACTGCCCGAAGGCCTCGGCCTTCGCCGCCGTCTGCGCCGCCTCCGCCCGCGCCCGGGCGGCCACCGCCGCCGCCCGCGCCGCGCCCGTCACCTGCGAGAGGCGGCTGGGACCCCCGCGGGATGGGGGGACCCCCCCCCCCCCCCCGCCCCAGTTTGGGGTCCCCTTGCCCCCCCCCCACTTACCCTCATGGCCTCGGCCTCGGCCTCCGCCTGCATCATCACCTGGGACCTGTGGGGGGCGGGGCTTGTGGGGGGCGGGGACTGCGAGGTGGGAGGGGCTGGGGAAAAGGGCGGGGTCTTCCCGAGGGGGCGGGGTCTACCAGCGGGGGGGGTGGGCAAAGGGCAGGGTTGGGCGTGGCCGGGTGAAATAGGGACATGGCCTCCTCCCCCCCCCCCCCCCCCCCAACAGCCTCCAGGGGGGTGTGGCCTACAAAGGGGCCGGGCTTCCTTGTAAGGGGGCAGTCTTCCCTTAAAAGGGCCACGACTGCGATGTGGTAGGGCCCACCGTGGGGGGGGGTGTGGGGTGTGTGTGTGTGACTTCAGAAGGGTACTGCCCCCTTTTTAAAAGGGAGTGGCTTCCGAGTGGGTGCCGGTGCCCTTTTAAAGGGGGCATAGCTTCCCCCCCCCCCCCCAAGGTGGTGGCACCCAGAGGTGGGGGTGTGGCTTGGCAGATTGGGGCGGGGTTCCACTTTAAAGGGGCACAGCTTCCCTTAAAGGGGGCACGGCTTCACCAAAGGTGGTGGGACCCACCCGGGTGGGAGTGTGGCTTGGCAGATTGGGGCGGGGCTCCTCTTTAAAGGGGCACGGCTGCCATTAAAGTGAGCAGGACTTCCCTTAAAGGGGGCACGGCTTCCCCCGAGGTGGTGGGACCCACCAGCCGGGGGCGGGGCTCACCGCTGGGCCTCGGCCAGGCGCTCGAGGCGGTAGCGCTCGGCCTCGGCGGGCTTGCGGACGGTGGCCTCCAGCTCACGCTCGCGGCGGCCGATCTCGTGCTCCTGCAGCTGCGCCTGCTGCGCCCGCTCCACCACCAGCACCTGCGCCCGCTGCTCCTCGATCTGCTGCTTCGTCCTCGCCACCTGCACCCGCGGCACCCATCAGCCCCGCGCCGGCACCCAGGGGGGCGGGGGAGGGGGGCACCCAGGCAGGCGGACTCAGGCACCCCGGGGGACCCAGGTTTTGGGGGAGATGCAGGTTTTTCGGAGGGAGGCAAGTTACTGGGGAGACCCTAGCGTCCAGGGGACCCGAGTGGCGGGGACCCAGGTGTCCGTGGGGGACCCAAGTGTCTTGGGGGGGGGAACCTAAACAATCCCAGGGGACCCCGAAGGACCCAAGTGTTAGAGGGCACCCCAGGATTTGGGGGATACAGGTATTCAAGGAGGACCCAGGTGTCCAGAGAAGGGTCCCAGGCACTGTGGGGCTGTACAGGGGGGGGACCTGGGTGTCCCGGAGCAGGGACCCAAGTGTCCAAGACCCCATCAAGGAGGGACCTGGGGGGGGGGGGTGGTCCCAGGTGACCTAGGAAGGGGTCTCCAACATCCCAAAGAGGCGACCCAGGCCCTCGGGAGGGACACTGAGGAACCTGGGAGGGGACACTGAGGTGGCAGGGGGGTACCTGTAGCTGGTAAGCCAGGTCGGCCTGGGCTTTACGGGCGCTGACGGCGGCGTCACACAACGCCTGCTGCACCTGGAAGTCGCGCTGGGCCTGCGCCATCGCCGTCTCGCTCAGCAGCTGCGCCGAGACCTGCTCCTGGCGCGCCCGCGCTTCCTGCGGGGACACGTAGAGGGGGCACGTGGGGACGCGGAGGGACACCGGGAGGTCCGGGGGGGGGGAAACATATTGGGGGTCGGGGCGCGATGACACCATGGGATTAGAGAGGTGGGGGGGTATTAGGGGACACTGCAGGATGGGGGGGCAGGGCATGGGGACACCAGGGGATGGGGAAAAATCATGGGACATGGAGACATTGGGGACCCACCCACACACAGAGGTGAGGACATGGGGGACAGTGGGGGTTCAGGTGATGTGGGGAAACCAGGGGGCCCACGGATGTTGGCGTGGGACATATGGGGACCTTGGGGGCAAGCTGGTGACATCAGGAAGTGGCCACTGGCATACTGGGGATGGATTTAAGAGACCCGAGCGAGGAAATGGGGGGGGGGGGACACACAGGCACGGGGAGGAGAGGGGGAGCCCCGGGGGGTGACAGAGGTGACGGGCTCACGCGGATGCCGGCGTCCCGCTTGGCCTCGGCCTCTCCCACGCGGGCGTCGCGCTGGACCTGCGCCGTGCGACCCTTCCCCAGCGAGTGCAGGTAGTCCTGGGGACGGGGGACATGGGGACACTGTCACCCCCACCCCGACACCGGCCATCCCTGTCCCAGCAAGCACCAGTGGCCCTGGAAACACTGGAGATGGTCTTGTCCCTGTACGGCGTCCCCATCCCTGGCTGGATGCCCCCAGTCTCTGCACCCACCCTGGTGACCCTGTTCCCACCCAGGGACCGTGTCCCTGTCCCCATTCCGGTGTCCCTGTCCTTCACCTGATGTCCTCACCCCCGTCTCCCTGTCCCCACACCCCCATTCCTCTGTCCCTGGCCCACTGTTTCCATCCCCACGTCCCCCTCCTCTGTCCCTTTTTCTGTGACCACCCATTCCTGGGTCACTGTCCCCAACCCTGCATCACTGTCCCCACCCCCCCGGCTCCCTGTACCGCCTCCCCCAGCCCCAGCGCCACCGACCATGCCGATGTCTCTGTCCCCACCACGTCCCCCCAGTATCCCCAGTGCCACCGGCCACAGCGTTGTCCATGTCACCCCCCATGTCCTTGGTGCCGTGTAGCCATTACAAATGTCCCTTCAGGTTGTACCTGACCACGTCGACACCCTTGTCCCCACCATGTCCCCTCGTGTCCCACCCCCGGTCGTCACCGATGTCTTTCAAGGTGTAGTTAACCACCTTGTCCCCACTACATCCGCTAGTGTCCCCTCTCTGGTGCCACCCGGCCATCGTGGATGTCCTTCAGGGTGTAGGTGACCACGTTGACACCCTTGTCCCCGCCGTGTCCCCACTCTGTGTCCCCCCCCCGTGTCACCTGGTCATCGTGGATGTCCTTCAGGGTGTAGCTGACCACGCTGATCCCCATGTTGACGAGGTCGGACGAGGCCACGTTGAAAACCTGCTCTGAGAACTTCTGCCGGTCCTTGTAGATCTCCTGGGGGGCGGGGCATCGGGAGGGCGGGGCGCATGGTGGGTGGGGGCATTGTGGGCGTGGTCTCCCAATGGGGTGGGGTCACCAGGGTAGGGTTCCCACCATGAGTGCCTGGTGGGGCGTGGCCTCGGGTGTGGGGGCTGTGTGGTCTATGGGAGGGGCGTGGCTTCACATGCAAAGGGGTGGGGCTCCCACCAGGGGCATGGAGCCCGGGGCAGGTGGGGCTTCTGTGACGGCACTTCCACAGGGGGTGGGGCTTATGGGCAACAGCCTTTGTTAAAGGGGCACGGCCAGTCCCAAGGGGCGTGGCCGGCCCCGCCCTCCTCACCTCCACGGTCATGTGGGCCATGATGGCGCGCTGGTGGCCCTCGAGGGTCTCCAGGGCGATCTGGGCGATCTCGCTCTCTGACTTGCCCAGAAACATCTGGCAGGCGGCCGCCAGCATCTCCTTGTTCTGCCCTTGGATCTTCACCTGCAGCCCCGCCCCCAAAGGGCACACCCCCGCCTCGCACACGCGCCTTGCACACGCGCCTCGCACGCTCCCGAACACCCCGAGTGGGGCCCAATTTCCCCCCGCACGTCCCCTTTAAGAGCTGGGGGGGGCGGGGTGTGTGGGGGGGTCTGCTGTGACCCTTTTAAGCGTGCTGTCCCTCCCTGCGTGGGGGTCCCCACCACTAACTTCAGGGCGTGTTGCCCCCCCCCCGAGGGGGTGTGGCCACCCCGGCCGAGCCGCTTTAAAGGGGCAGGGGCACAGGGTGGGCCCCACCATTTAAAAGGGGCTGCACCGCTTCCTCTCGGGGAAGGGGCGGTGGCAGCTGCAGGGACACGGGTGGGGGGACACGGGTGGGTGGGGGGTACCTGGGCGATGCCGGTGACGGAGATGGGGACGCCGTGGCGTGTGTACACCTTCTCACTGCGCACGTTGAGGGTCAGGGTGTTCAGGGAGATCCTGGGGGGGGGGGGTGTTCCACGCTGGTGTCACCCTCGTGTCACCCACAGCCCCCCACACCCCCCCAGTCACCCCTCGTGTCCCTGCACTCCCTGTGCACCACCCTCCCCCCCCACACCCCGCGTCACCCTCCATGTCAACACGTCGTGTGTCTCCCCCCCCCCCCCCCCCCCCGATCCCCTCACCGCTGGATCTGCTGCAGACACGGCACCACCAGCACCCGCCCCCCGGCCACCATCACGGGTGGGCTGCGGCAGAAACCTGAGGGGACACGCACATAGAAATAAATGGAGGGGGGGGACACCCCCACGCGTCCCGAGTCGGGACACACACACACACACACACACACACAGACACCCCGACTCACCCGACACCACCATGGCCTCGTTGGGGCCACACGTGAAAAACATCTCGGCGGGGACCTGCGGAGACACGCGAGGTGAAGCCCACGGGCCCACGACCCGCCCCCCACCTCCCTCCGCGGTCCTCCCGCTGCGGAACCGCCACGATCCCGGCGCCTCCCGCGGCAGCGCCCACCCCACCCTGTTCTACCCGGCGACCCGTGACGTCTGGAGATCCTCGCCGTCCTATTGGTCGATCCGGCAGGGCGGGAAGGCGAGCGGGGCGGGGCGCCGTGCGCGGGGAGGCCGAGCGGCGCCATTTTGGGCGGGGGCTGAGGCGCTGCCGCGGGGAGCGGGGCCCGGCCGGAGCTCCCACGCGCGGGGCCGACCCCGGTGGGTGGGGACGGGCAGGGAGCGGAGGGGGGGTCCGGTACCGCCGGGCAGGGGGGGGCGAAGGGGCTGGAGAGACCTCCTGGGGCCGGGGGGGTTGTTGTAGGGTCTCCCGGGGCTGCACAAGCACTGATCGAGACCTCCCTGGTGTTGCTGTGGGCACAGAATAAGGTCGAGTTGTTGTCCTCGGGCGGGTGGTGGCTGGAGCTCGGATTCCCCGACAAGGAGCTGCTCCTTGGGGATGGGAAGGTGTCGTGGTTTGGGCTCAGGGGGTCACTGAGCACCACGCAGCCGCTCACTTGTCCCTTCCCACCCGGCGATGAGAAGGGACAAATAAACCAGGGTTGGGATTCCAGATAGGACCAGGAGGGGCAAATCACCCCTTATGGAAATGGGCATAAGGCAGACTCATTAGGGGACATGAAAAGGAGAATATAGATTTATTACAGATGCTAACAACACATAACAGAGCAGGACAGTGAGAAGCATTGCCACATCTTGAGAACACCTTCCCCCCACCCCTCCCTTCTTCCCGGGCTCAGCTCTGCTCCCGATATCTCTACCTCCTCCCCCAGGGGCACAGGGGCAGGGAATGGGGGGTGCAGGCAGTGCTGCCACTTCCTTCATGTTTGGTGGGGGGAGCTTCTGGAACTTCTCCCCCTGCTCCATCGTGGTCCCCCTCTCACAGCAGACAGTCCTCCACAAACTTTCTCCGACATGAGTTCCTCCCACGGGCCGCAGCGTTCCCCACACTGCTCTGTCATGGGTCACTAACTTCCTCCGACTGGATTCCCTCCCACGGCTGCAGCCCTTCCCGAGCTGCTCCGGCGTGGGACACCCCCGCATGCTGCAATCCTCCCAGCGCTGAATTACAGCAGTGGGGCTGCCTTTTCCCACTAGACCCCGGCCTTCTTTGGGCAGAGCATCTTGATCATCCATGCGAAAAACAGGCCATAAATCAGTGTCTGCTCCACCATAGCTCTCCATGGGTGGCAGGGGGGGCCGCCCTGCCGTCGCCCCACAGGATACAGGAGGGTCTCTGCTCTGGCACACCTCCCCCCTCCTTTCTTCCTCCGTTCCCCCACTGACCTTGGTGTTCATGCAGCTCCCCCAACTCCTCCTCACAAGTCCAACCGCTCCTCACCACGTCCCTTCTTAAATACGTTATCGCAGAGGTGCAGCTGATGGGCTCAGTTTTGGTACAGAGGTGGAGCTGACTTGGAGCTGGGGGAGCTTCGAGAAGCTTCTCACATGACACCGCCCCTATAGCCCCCTCCCCTGCCACCAAAAAAAACCTCACAACTCACTCAAACCTACAACAGAAGGACTAAGGCGACCTGGGCTTCAGCGCCCATGGGATGGTGGAGCTCAGGATCAAGGACAAGGATGAAAAGCAACATCACAACTTCAGGAGAGCAATTTGACTTCTTTGAAGATGTTTCGATTTCCTCCAAGTGTGCCCAAGTGGCCAAGAGGGCCAACAGCATCCTGTATCAGAAATGGTGTGGCCAGCAGGACTCGGGACATGATCGTCCCCCTGTACTCGGCCCCGGTGAGGCCGTTCTGCAAATTCTGGGTTCGGTTTTGGGCCATTTACTCCAAGAACGACACTGAGGTGCTGAAGTGCGTCCAAAGAAGAGCAACGATGCTGGTGAAGGATCTGGAGCACAAGTCCTGTGAGGAGCAGCTGTGGGCACGTGCTTGGTTTCCCCTGGAGATAAGGAGGCTGAGGGGAGGCCTCATCGCTCTCCACAAGTACCTGGGAGGGGGTAGAAGCGAGGTGGGGGTCAGTGTGTCCTCTCAGGCAAGAAGTGACAGGACGAGAGGAAACGGCCTCAGGTTGTGGCAGGGGAGGTTTGGGTTGGCCATTAGGCAAAATGTCTTCACCGGGAGGATTGTCCAGCACCGGCACAGGCTGCCCGGGGCAGGGGTGGAGTCAGCATCCCTGTGGGGATTGAGAAGACATGTGCACGTGGCGCTGAGGGACACGGTCCAGTGGTGGCCTTGGCTGTGTTGGGTTAATGGTGGGACTTGATGATCTCAAGGGTCTTTCCCACCTCAACAGTTCTGTGAGTCTAAGCTGAAGAGAGGAACAAGGCGGCGAGCGGGAGGTCAGGCAGCGAGGCCAGGAGGGTGGATGAAGAGCTCTTGGCCAACCTCAAACCCGAAGGAAGCGCACAGAGGAAGGACGGGGAACCTGGGAGCGAGCCCGAGACGCTGCCCGAGCAGCCAGGGATGGGGCCAGGGAGGCCAAAGCCTAACGACTGGAGCCTGGCGAGGGATGGCAAAGACACCAAGAAGGGCCTTTGTAAGGACGTGGTGACGAAAGGAAGACGAGGGAGAGCGCGGCCCCACTGCTGGGCGGGACGGGGGACCCGGTGGCACCGGACCCGCGAAGGGCTGAGGCACTGAACCCCTCGTGGCTCCCGCCGAGAGCAGCAGGAGCAGCCGTCGGGAGTCCCAGGGCTGGAGCAAGACCGACGTCCCCTTGTGGCAGTTACCTTAATAAAATCCTAGAGTATTATTTTGGTTTTAGTTTAGAATATGCCTTTGCTTTTAAAATGGAGCTATAGCAGCTATGAGAATATAAAGCACACTAAGGCCCTTAGGAACACGTAGCTAGTGTGGTGTGTGCCTTGAACACTGCAAAAATCGTTATGGACTCTCAATCAAAACAGTGGGTACTGGTTATGCATCTCGATTTGAAACAATAGGTACCAGAAGAAACTGGTTTTGGTTGGGAAGATCGGCCAAAGAAGAAATGGGCATTGGCCAAAGATGGAGTGAGCATGCGCAGGGATGGAGTTCAGTCAGCCGACACAGCGAGGAAGACTATGGATGTCCACCAGAGGACCCCCGTCCCGTATAACCACGCAGGCGTTAGGGACATTTGCATATGATAGTGATTTCCAGGAAATAACATGAATATGCTAATCATCGCCCCCCCCTCATTCTATTTAAATCTGTAAAGATTTAAATAGAATTCAATGATTTCTGTAGGGTAAGAATATAGGTAAGGTGAGTAACTGACAGCCAATCATTATAGAGATCAAATTAAACTTTATGAATTTTGTTGATCTTATGTAACCAGGACTCTGCTGAAAACCTGTATAAATACGCTGTGCTTTGTACCTGTCGATGAACACGTCTTTGGTGGAGCTCTCCCCCGCGTTCCCCAGCGCTGGAATAAAGGAGTGCCTGCTTATCTGCTGGGTGTAGATCAGTTCTATTCGCGATTGCGACCGCTGACACCCTTGGCCCAGGGAAGTCTTTGGCCCACGGGACACATCGAGGTCCCCGGGCCCTGGCGGGGGCACCCATGGGTGCTGAGCAAGCTGGCCTGTGGCAGTGTGAGGCAGCTCTCGGGGATGTCCCCACGTCCCTGGTGGGGTCCCCTGGGTGCTGGGTTCTGGCACAGAGCACCCCAAAACCTGGCGGGAGGCGCTGGGCTCCCCCCCAGGGTGTTGTCTTGCTCATCCCCCCCTTTGCTCTGGGCCCCGCGGGCACGAGGGGGTCGGGGACACCGGCACGAGGGACCCCGGGAACGAGGGACACGGGGTGACCCCGGGCTGGGGGGTGCGGGGTCCTGGGTGTCCCGGGCCGTGCGGGGGTTCAGGGGTTCCCGTCCCTCCCCCACCCCCGGCTCTGCCTTCGGCGCTTTCGCTTTCACTTCCAACCTGGGCAGACGGGATCTGCCTGGCGACCGGTGACGTCATTAGCACCGCGGGCTGCCATTAGCGGGCGGGAGGCGGCGGGCCCAATAGCGGCAGAGGGGCGGGGCTTGTGGCGGAGCTCAGTGTGGGGCCGGAGCGGAGCGGAGCGGAGCGATGGGGCCGGGGCCGGGGCTGCTGCTGCTGCTGCTGCTGGGGGTCCTCGGCGGGGCGGCGAGCGGTGAGCGCGGGGGGGAACGGGGAACCCCCTGCACCCCCGTTTTCTTTGCAGGGGGCCCCCATGAACACCCCTTGTCTGGGCACCGCGACCCCCTGGACGCCCTTTCCTGGTCCCGGGGACCCCCCTGGATCCCCCTTTTCTTGGCACAGGACCTTGTGCGGGCACCGGGACCCTTCGACCCGCCCCTTACCAACCACCCCTCGCCCCCTCCCGGGCCACCGGGAACCCCCTTGGACACCCCCAACCCCCCGGGACCCCTGTGCCCCGATCCCCTTCCCGGTCACCAGGACCCCCCGGACCCCCCTGGCACATCTCACAAACCCCCCACCTCCTCCCCCCGGTCCCGTCCCTCCCCGGTGCCCCTGACCTGTCCCCTGGGACCCCCACCCAGCCTCGCTGCCCACCCCTGGGCACCCGCACCCCTGACCCCCACCCCTGACCCCCCCCATGTCTCCGCAGGGCCCCACTCCCTGCGCTACTTTGACATTTCGGTGTCGGAGCCCAGCCCGGGGGTGCCCCAGTACATGTATGTGGGGTACGTGGATGGGAACCCCATCGCACGCTACGACAGCGAGATGCGCAGGGTGGAGCCCCGGGCGGACTGGATGGCGGCAAACCTGGATCAGCAGTACTGGGACAGCCAGACCCAGATCTCACAGAGCAACCGGGAGATCGACCGCGTGAACCTGGACACAGCGCGGGGCCGCTACAACCAGAGCGGGAGTGAGTGTGGGCTGGGATGGGGCTGCGTGGGGCTGGGACGGGGCTGCGTGGGGCTGGGACGGGCTGCGTGGGGCTGGGACGGGCTGCGTGGGGCTGGGACAGGGCTGCGTGGGGCTGGGACGGGGCTGTGTGGGGCTGGGACGGGGCTGCGTGGGGCTGGGACGGGGCTGCGTGGGGCTGGGACAGGCTGCGTGGGGCTGGGACGGGGCTCTGTGGGGCTGGGACGGGCTGCGTGGGGCTGGGACAGGCTTCGCAGGGCGAGAGAGCTCCCACCCCCCACTCCAAGATCCTGCCCTGCCCCACGCTACTGCCCCAGCGGGTGCCAGCCCGTCCCTGCCCGCTGTCATTGTCACAGGGCTCCCAGCCACCCTGTCCCCCAGCCTGTCCCAGTCGAGACCCCCAGAAGCAGAGGGGCTCCCACCCCCAGTGTCGCAGCCCCTCACCCTCCCCGTGGTGTCAGGCCCCCCATCCCAGAGCCAGAGGGGTTCCCCCCACTCCACCCCATCTCCTCATCCTCCCCTCCCCGGCCTTCGGGACCCGATCGCAGCCCCTCGCTGTCGCAGGGTGCCGTGGGGGTGGGTGCCCACCCCGCCACGCGCTGGGTGCAGGGGGGCTGCACCACGGCTTCACGTGACACCGCGAGTGCTGTGGGCCCCGGGCAGGGCGGGGGGCAGCTCTGGTGCCGGTGCCCGATCCCCCCAAGCCTCACGCAGGGCTGGAGTGGGGGGAGCTGCCGGGGGGTCTGCGCCCCACTGAGGGCCCAGGGCTGCAGCAGCCCCTCAGCCCCGGCTCCCCGGACGTGTTTCAGGGGGTCTAACGCTGCAGCGGATGTACGGCTGTGACATCCTGGAGGACAACAGCACCAGGGGGGTTTATCAGTATGCCTACAATGGGAGGGACTTCATCGCCCTCGACATGGACACGATGACGTTCACCGCGGCGGACGCAGCGGCACAGATCACCAAGAGGAAGTGGGAGGAGGACGGGACGTTTGCTGAGCAGACGCAGCACTACCTGGCGAACACGTGCATTGAGTGGCTGAGGAAATACGTGAGCTACGGGCAGGCCGTGCTGGGCAGGACAGGTGAGGGCGAGACGGGTCCCGGGGCCGGGTGCTGCGGGTGCGTGTGCCGGCCCTCACCGCCACCCCCTCCGCAGAGCGCCCCGCGGTGCGAGTGTCGGGGAAGGAGGCCGAGGGGGTCCTGACCTTGCACTGCCGCGCCTACGGCTTCTACCCGCGGCCCATCTCCGTCAGCTGGCTGAAGGGCGGCGAGGTCAGGGACCAGGAGACCCAGTGGGGCAGCGTCGCGCCCAACAGCGACGGCACCTACTACACCTGGGCCTCCATCGAGGCCCGCCCCGAGGAGAAGGACAAGTACCGGTGCCGCGTGGAGCACGCCAGCCTGGCCGAGCCCGGCCTCTTCGCGTGGGGTGAGCGCGGTGGCCGTGGGCACGGGGCGCGGTGGGCAGGGGGGCTCCCCTCCCCTCCCTCACGGCCCTGCTCTCCCCCAGAGCCGGAGTCCAACCTGTTGGTCATCGTGCTGGGGGTGGTCGCCGCCGTCCTGGTCGCCGCCGCCATCGTCGCCGGATTTGCTGTGTGGAAGCAGAAGTCGGGTAAAGCGCTGGGGCCGGCGAGGCAGAGGGGTGCGGGAGGAAGGCAGGGCCTGGGGGGCCTGGGGGGCCGGGAGGGGCCGCGGGCGTGAGCCGCCGCGCTCCGGGGAGCCCCCGAGCCCGGCGGGGGAGCGCGGTGGGTGCTGACGCCTCTTTCTCTCTGCAGGGAAGAAGGTGAAGGGCTACGGCGTGGCGGCAGGTGAGTACTGGCGGCGGGTCCGGCTCCAGCCGGTGCCCGGTGCCGGGGCCGGCTCACGGCTCTGGGTTTTGGCCGCCGGTGGCGTTTCCCGATCCCTTGTCCTCCCTTTGCGGACCCTCTTCAAAGCCGCGTAGCGGGGCCGTGTGGGAGAGGCCGTGTCTCCCCGTCCGTGCTGGTGGCACCACCACAGGGGCAGCGAACCGCGGGATTCTGAGCCAGAAGGCACCTCCGCAGCCGACTGGTGCGGCCTTTCTGGCACAAACCCTGTCTAGACGAGCTGGCCCGGCCCCGTGTCCAGCCGAACCGTGAAAGTGCCCAGTGTTGGGGAATCCGGCTCTGCCCCGCGGGGATTATTGCAGAGGCTGATTGTTCTCCCGGTGAAGGACGTTCCCCTTGTGCGCTACCGGGATCGCCCCAGCAGTAACTTGCACCCGTCACCCGTTGGCTTTTCCCAAAGGGAGCCTCCATCGCCTTTGCAGCCACCCTTACGTCGTGCAGCGGGGTGGTAAGGGCTCCCCTGGGCCTTCTCGGGGCTGAACCAACCCAATTCTCTCAGCCCTGGATCACCTCGGTGGCTCTGGCCGGGGCCTGACGGGCTCCAGGTAGGGTGGGACGGTGTCTGCTCCATCTCTGCTGGCGCTGCCCCTGCTGATGCCGCCCAGCACCGCTTTCTTGGCCGCTGCAGCCCACTGTGGACTCACGCTGAGCTGGCTGTCCCCCCGGACTCGGGGTCCCTTTCCCCAGAGCTGCTCCCCAGCCCGGGCTGCGCTCCTGGGTGGCGTTTGCCCAGGTGCAAGACCTTGCACTTGGCCCTGTTGAGCTTCAGAAGGTCCTCGTCAGCCCGCTCTTGCAGCCCGGCCAGGGCTCCCTGCAGGGTGGCTCTCCCCTCCCGAGTGCCCACGTCCCCGCTCGGCTCGGTCTGGTCTGCAAACTTCATCAGGGAACGCTTGGTGCCGTTGTCCCGATGGCTGCAGAAGGTGCTCAGCCGCGCTGGGCCCAGGGTTGGGTGGAGCCGGCGGCCGTCCTGCTCTCGCAGGGCTGCAGCGTGGCCGTGGCTCCCGGCCGGCTCCTGGCCCGTGGCCCCCGGCCGGCTCCTGGCCCGTGGCTCCCGGCCGGCTCCTGGCCCGTGGCTCCCGGCCGGCTCCTGGCCCGTGGCCCCCGGCCGGCTCCTGGCCCGTGGCCAGTGCCCGTAGCGAGCCCGGGGCCGGCAGCTCACGGCTGTTTCTCTCCCACAGGCTCGGACGAGGGGTCCGGCAAGTTGGTCGCAGGTACGGCGTGGGAGCAGGGGCGATGGACGGGGCGGCCCCAGCTCTCTGTGCTCCCCCGTGGGACCGGCAGCCGGGGCAGCACGGGGCTGTGGGAGGGGGACACGGAGAACTCCAGAGCAGTGGGTTGGGGGCCGGGAGGGGTCCCTGGGTGACGCTGTCCCCTGTCCCCGCAGGAATGACCGTCTGAGCGCTCGGCGAGGGGCCGGCGCGTGGCTGGGTGCGGCCCCCCGCCCTCTCAGCGGCTGGACGCAGAGGGAGGCCGCGGCTGCGGTGGTGGCTCTTCTGGCTGGTGGCCTTCCTTTTTTCTGATCCTTTGGAAATCGAGCACTGCAATTATTGCCAAGGAGCTTGAACTTTGAGGTCGTAACCGATTGCTTTTGCTTCGCACAGAATAAATTCTGAGTCCCCCCCCGTGCAGGCTGTGCCTCCTCCCCCGGTGCCTGGGCTGTTCTCGCATTCTTGGGTCGGGGCTGGGCTGGTTTGGGCTGGGAGAGGTTTGATTTTCTTCATCGCGGCCCGACGCGGCGCAGTGTGCAGGATTTGGGACCGCAGTGGTGCTCGTAACACAGCGATGGATCTGAGCAGCCTTGGCACCGCGTCAAGGCCGTCTCTGTTTCTCCTTCGGGTGCCCCGGTGAACAGACGGGGGGTGCGGAGGAGGCTGAGAGGGGCCACAACCAGGCAGGCGACCCAACCTACCGAGAGGTACTCCAGGGCACATCGTGTTGTCCTGGACGCCACAGAGGGAGAAGAGGTGTTGAGGGTGCCTGGCAGCTTTTCCCCAGGACCTGGCTGAGTACCAGTGGTGCTGCGACGGAGGTGGTGAGCTCTGAGAACACGCAGACGTGTGCTGAGAAGATCTCCTGGGCTGAAGGGTTGTAGACAGACGCCAAGAAGGAGAGTCTCCTGCTTCGGGGCCCCACAGTCAGGTGCTGAAAAGATCTGGTCTAAAGCTGCTCAGACTAGCCCTGAAAATAAAGTCTTCTGCTGGGATGGGTTGCAGGCAGACACCAAGGTGAAAGCCTGCTCTGAAGCCCCAGAAGTTGTCCTGCTCTGAGGCCGTGTAGATGGGCGCTGAGAAGACGGTCTCCTGATACGAAGGTGCATAAGCGGGCACCGAGAAAAAGGTCTCCTGCCCCAAAGCCGTGGAGGCGCTCGTTGAGAAGAAGCCCTCCTGCACGAGGTGGCCTGTTGGAGAATGGCTCAGAGACAAGGGTCCTGAGCCCACCGAGCAGTTGTACGATCAGAGCCTGCTCTGGCTGCTGATGCTGAGCCTCACTAGGGTTTGCCTGCAGCTGCTCGCAGCTGCTGATACAGGAGGAATGTCAAGGACGCTTCAGCCCTGTGTACCGTGGTGTGTCGAAAACAGGTTGAGAGGAATTAGGAATAGTGGTCTGAGAAACCCAGTGTTGTGGTAACGGTGGTCTGAGAAACATTGTGTTACGGTACTGTCGTGTATCGAAAACAAGTCAAGAGGAATTAGAAATAGTGGCCTGAGAAACTCGGTGTTATGAGCAGCTTGTGCTGTAAGCTAACTGCAAGTAGGTGGGCCGTGCGAATACGACCTTTAGAGCTTAAGCCAATCAGCTAGTGACTAGTAGGCATAATAATTGGCGTTGTCTGTATAAATATATGTACCCTGGACCAATAAACACACACGGTGATTGATGCTCTATCACCCACACTGAACCCGTCTTGGCGTGTCGTTCGTCCTGCATAGAAGAAGAACACGGATGGAGCGGCGGACCCGGAGAAACAGCAACGACCGAGGAATTCGAGAACGGACCCGGAGAAACACCAAATACAGCAGCGCCCGGGGGCTGAAGAATGATCGAACAGTGGATCTCCGACGGGTCGTTCCGAGGACCTGAACCGAGATAGAGGGTCGCTGTCTGCAAGGGCTGCTGGCAAGAGCTGCACCTGGTGCCTTAATCACGGAGCATCAGCAACATATCAAAGTAAGGGGGTATTTTTGTGCCTTAAACAGGGAGCACAGGGCCGGCGGGGGCATTTCTGTGCCTTAGTCAAGGAGCACAGGGCTGACGGTGCCTTAATCAGGGGTGGGTCGGTGGTAACGGTACTGTGCCTTATCCAGGGAGCACAGGACCGGAGGTGCCTTAATCAAGGAGCACCAGGTTGACGATATGGAACAGGAGGTAGCCCTGGATTTGTTACAGCGCTTTTTAGAAAAGCGGGGAGTGGATTGTATAAAATCACTCGCGGGTTTAGTAGCGTTAGGACAGGTCAAAGGATGTTTTCAAGATCCTAATTCTCTTTTTGATGTCGAGGAGTGGAGACGATTAGGTGATATTTTGTGGGATATGGTAATTGACGAGGATAAAGCTGCAAGGAAAATGATGAAACCGTGGCGGGACGTGGTGAATAATATTAAGTGGTATCAGCTTGAAAAGACCCTTGCAGCTGTGGCAACTACAAAGGGCGGGGGGGAAAGTTCCACTGTTACCCCAGATAGTGAGGCATCCGGACCTATGCTCTTTGACAGTGATCGTATTCCTGTACCATCAACAGGAGTGCCGGTTTCAGTTAACATAAGGAGGGGAAGTCTGGAGGCCAGCCCCCCCCAGTGCCCTTACAGCCATGCCCCCCCCACCCCCCCCACCTCAGAGGCGGAGGGGCAGAGGGACGATGGCCCCTCGCTAATATTTAGCCAACAGGGGTGGCGCGAAGTAGGTGATTTATTGTGGGACGAGACCATCACTGGAGGCAATAAAGGCAGTGAAGCACGACAGCAAGGGCTGGTCTGGCGAACGAGCGTAAAAGTCTCCTGCCCCAAAGCCGTGGAGGCGCTCGTTGAGAAGAAGCCCTCCTGCACGAGGTGGCCCTCACTGGGCGCGAAGGCAGGGACGGTCTCCAGGAAGATCTGTAAGCCAGCGGGGAAGTGTTCTCCCAGAGAGGAAGGGGTCCGGCTCCTGAGGGCGTTCGCGGTGGCCTGCGGCCACCGGGAGAGTGCTGGGGCCCCACAGCTCGGGGCGGCCGCCAGCGCGCACGGTCTGTCCGGCGGCTTCTGCACGGGGCGCACCGACGGGCACCAGCAGCCCGGCCGTGGCGGACGGGGCACCCTCGAGGCGCCGGCTGTGCGGGGGCTGCTCTGCCAGCCCCAGCGATGCCGGGGGAGCCTCGGCTCGCCCGCCCCACCCCGGCCGTTGTCTCGGCTGGGGACAGGCCGTTCCCCAAGGCCGCTGGAAGAGAAGGGGGCGGTCGCCCTCCTTGCGCTGCGGGCCAGCACCTGGGCTAGCGGGAGCCCGCTCAAGGCTACGGGGACCGTGGGCGCACACCGCGTGCCCCCTGGCAGGGCTCTGCCTGCATGAGCACGGGGAGGACAGGCGCAAGGGGGACGGGCCTGGGAGCTCGGGGGCAAGAACTGGGGGGGAAAACGGTGGCTGAAGAGGGACCCTCCGGGAAGATCGCCGCTCCAGCTGCCGGCGAGCAATTCCCCGGGCGCGCTGGAATGGCTGAGGACGCCTCTTCTCCCTCTGATGCTGGTCCCGGGGACGTGTGGCCCCACGGGGTCGGACCTCACACCGCACCCCACGGAAGGACAGTGCCAGACCCCAGCAGGGTCGTGCCTGTGCCCATCCTTGCAACGCAGACGGGGCGAGAGAGACGCGGGCTCCTCTCGGGGTGAAAAGGGTTCTTTGTGATTGCAGCCGTCGGGTAACGGGTGCTGCGACGAGGACGAGGGGTCCTGCCCCTGGCTGGGCCGAGGAAAGGGGGAGACGGGTGCGGTGGCCTCAAAAGGGACCATCTTTCAGCAGATCAGGTTGCTGAAAGGTCCTGTCCAACCTGAGCTTGACCCCTCCCTGTGATGGGGCATCCTCAGCACCTCGGGACCACCCGGTCCATCACCTCCCCCCCGCCATCCAGCATTTCTTATGTCCAGTCTCCATCTCCCGTCTTCCTCTTTCAAGCCCCAGCCCTTGTCCTGTCACTACCGGCCCTGGGGAAGAATATCTCTCCGTCTCTCCTCTTCCGAGGAAGCTGCAGCCGTCAAAGCTGCTCAGCCGGCCCCGGAGATTGCTGCCCGCGAGACGTGGCCAGGGCTCTGTCGCCGTAGTGAGTTGTCGAGGGTGGCCAGTGCCCTGCGGGGGTGGCTACAGCGCTGGTGGCAGAGGTGAACCCCCCTGGGCTGCTGCGTTCTGGCAGCGGGACCTCGCTGCCTGGGTAGAGCCCCAGCGTGGGGACGTCCAAGCGCCACGGCCCCGGAGACCATCAGCACAAGGAGCAAGAGGCCCAGGCGGCAAAAAAATCAGCGTGGCTGGGGTAGTCCTGGAGCGGGAACGCCGTCGGGAGCTGGTCGCAGCTCGGTGGGGCAGCGGGAGGGAGACACAACGTGGGGCTGGGCTCATGGTGGAGGGAGGGACCCGACCTGAGCTCCGCGGCCATCGCACAGGTCCTTCATCGACGTGAAGGATGTGCCGGAGTCGAGCGCGTGAAGCCCCTGGGGCGGGAAGGACCTCGGCTGCGACGTCACGAGGGGGAGGCAGCAGATTCATTATCTCACACCGCGGCGAGCGCCACGCGCTTCCCACGGCAGCGGCCACAACCCGAGGGCGAGTGGGGGGCTTTGGCACCCAGGACCCCATGGCCAGGCTGGGCGGCTCCACCCTGGCCCCCACAACCCAGCCGGCTCCTCGCTGACACAATTCTGCTTTATTTTGTATAAATTTCTGTCCTAAGGGGGGCATGGGGGCCTCCCCGCTCCCCCCATTGCTGCCCCCATCCCTGGAGCTCCTTTCCCCCTCCCTGCTCCAGCCTCCCCCGATACATCCTGGGTACAAACAGAAGGATTTATTTCACACTCTGTGTCCTGTGGCCAGTCCTGCCAGTCACCAGCCCCGCTGGCAGCTGCTGGCACCCAGTGTCACCCGTGGTCACCATCCCACAGCAGGGACATGGCAGCGTGCCCAGCCTGGCACCCCTGATCCCCCCTCACAGCTCTCACAGTCCCTTGTCACAGCTTTTGGTGTCCCCATCCCGGCTCCCAGTGTCCCCATCTGTGTAGTCAGTGTCCCCATCCCGGCTCCCAGTGTCCCCATCCCTTAGTGTCCCCATTTCCAGCTCCTGCTGCCCCTCACCCTCCTTCCCCATGTCCCTGTCCCCCGCTGTCCCCCCTGGTCCCCCACCCCACAGCAGGAGCTCCCCAGGGGAGCCCAGCTCGTGCAGTCGTCCCCCCTCCAGCACGGCCACCCGCTGTGCCCGCATGGCCAGGGCCACCTGCCCTGTCACCAGCAGCACCGCACGCCCGGCCCCGCTGGCTTCGAAGATCTCCTGCTCCACCTGCGGTGGGTGACATTATCAGTGGGGTGGGGACACGGGGGACATGGACAGCAGGGACCCAGGGGATGTGGGAACAAGGGACCCAAGGGACATGGGGACAAGGGAGCCAGGGGACCCAGGGGCAGGGATCCAAGGGACAGGGGGACCAGGGAGCCAGGGGACAGCAGGGTTGGAGTAAAGGGGGCACAGGGAGCAGGGACTTGTGGGACACTGGAAAAGGGGATGAAGGGGGACACCCCCCTGGGACCAGGGGGCTGCTGGGAGAGGGACCCATGGGACACCAGGACTGGGGGCCAAGGGATCCCAAACACCAGGAACCCAGGGGACATGGGGACAAGGGACCCAGGGGACAGCAGGGCTGGGGGCAAAGGGGATGATGAGGAGACCAAGGGGGACCCCCAGGGATCAGGGTGCCGATGGCCAAGGGGACACGGGTGTCACCTCCCACCTGCAGCTGGCTCTCGGCATCCAGGGCGCTGGTGGGCTCATCGAGGACGAGGACACGGGGGTCCCTCACCAGGGCGCGAGCAATGGCCACCCCCTGCCGCTGTCCCCCGGAGAGCTGCACCCCCAGCTCACCCACCTCTGCGCGAGACGGGGGTCAGGCTGGGGACACGGGGACAGCGAGGCGGGGGGGGGGGGGGGGGGGCGGGCAGCTCCTACCTGTGTCATAGCCCTGGGGCAAGCGGGAGATAAAGGGGTGGGCACCCGCCCGGCGGGCTGCCACTGTCACCTGCGCCCGGCTCCAGGTCCCCGGCCCGTAGGCGATGTTGGCGTGGAGCGAGCGGGAGAAGAGCACCGGCTCCTGGGGGACAGCGGCCACCTGCGGCAGAGGGGACAGCTGGGGACACGTTGGGGACATGGCAGGGATGGGTGGGGACACGGCGGGGAGGTGGCAGTGACATGGCAAGGACATGGCTGGGGGGACTCAGCAGGGACGTGAGGGGACACTGCAGGGACGTGGGGATGGGGCAGGGGACGTGGCTGGCACGTGGCAGGGGAGATGGTGGGGACACGGCAGGGACATGGAGGGGACAGCGGGGGACACGGCAGGGTTGCAGGGGTGGCATGGCAGGGACACGGCAGGGACGGGTGGGGACACTGCTGGAGTCCTGCAGGGTTATGTGGGGACGCAGCAGGGACGTGTTGGGGACACAGCGGGGGACGTGGTGGGAGCAGTGGTGGTGACACGATGGGGACATGGCCTGGACACGGCAGGGACATCTGGTGACGTGGGGGGGGGGGGTGGCGGGGACATGCTGGGGCTGGCTGGTGGCATGGGAGTGGTGGTGGGGACCCCTTGGGGACAGATGGTGACACGGGGAGGGGGGTGGTGGTGGGGACCCGTTGGGGACACCGTGTGACAGGGGACGGTGGTGGCACCTGGCAGCGCAGGTAGGGGTGCTGGTAGGCTGGGAGGGGGTGACCGTCCAGCAGCACCCGCCCGGCCCCCGGCGGGTGCAGGCGCAGGACCAGGGACACCAGGGTGCTCTTCCCCGCCCCCGGGGGGGCCACCACTGCCAGCACCTCCCCGGGGCGCAGCTCCAGGGACACGCCCTGGGAGGGGGGGAGACAACAGAGGTGACACCGCTGCACCCCCTCCCTCACTGTCCCCATGTCCCCACACCCTCCCTGCCACAGCCCCACTGTGTCCCCATGGCCACCCACCATGTCCCTACACCCCCCCCCCCCCACCTGTGGGTCCCCATGGCATGTCCCCGTGTCCCCACACCCTCCCCACCACGTCCGCATCCCCACACCTCCCTCACCGTGTCCTCATGTCCACCTGCCATGTCCCCACTGTGTCCTTCTGTGCCCCCACCAAGTCCCCACACCCTCCCCCCCATCACCACGTGCTCATCCCATCCCCACTGTGTCCCTGTGTCCCCATGCCATGTCCCCACGCCCTCCCCAACGCGTCCCCATGTCCCCCACCCTGTTCCTGTGGTCACCTTGAGGACAGGTTCTTGGTGCTCGGGGTAGGAGAACCAGACGTCCTCAAGCTGGAGGTGGCCCCGCAGGCCATCGGGTGCCAGCGTCCCCGGGGGTGTCACCTGCTCCTCCCGGTCCAGGAACTCAAAGATCTTCTCTGAGGAGCCCACGGCCTTGGTCATGTTGGGGTAGTAGCGGAGCAGGACCTGGGGACACAGAGGGGACATGGCAAGGAGGATGTGGGGACATAGGGAATGGGCATGGGGACACAGGGACAGGCATGCACCCAGGAGGATATGGGGACATGCAGGTGTGGGGAAAGGGCATGGGGACACGGCCAGGATGGTGTGGGGGGACACGGAGACACAGGGGACTGGGATGGGGATGCATCCAGGAGGACAAGGGGACACTGCTGGGAGGGCATGGGGACCTGGAGGACACAGGGACATGGTGGGACCAGCATGGGGATGTGGCAGGGAGGATATGGGGACACAGGGATGTGGCAGGGCATGAGGACACATAGGGGAGGACTTGGGGACAGAGAGAGGACATGGTGGGGAGAGTGTAGGGACACAGCGAATGGACATGGGGACACAGAGGACACGGATGCATCCAAGAGGGCATGGGGACACCACTGGAAGGGTGTGGGGACACAGAGAACGCAGGGACATGGTGCGGGGAGGGCACAGGGAGATGGTGGGACCGGCATGGGGACATGGCAGCAAGGGTACGGGGACAGAGCAGGGGACACAGGGACGTGGCAGGGGGACACAGGCACACGGAGAGATGGGCACAGGGACATGGCAGGGAGGGCGTGGGGACACGGGTGGCCATGAGGACACACTGGAGCTGGCATGGGGACACAGCAGGGAGGGCGTGGGGACATGGGGAATGGGCTTGGGGACGTGGTGGGGAGGATGTTGGGGACATGGTGTCCCCTTGGGTTCACCTCCAAGGCCTCGGTGAACTGCATCTGGTAGATGAGGAAGGTGACAAGGTCCCCGGTGGTGATGGTCCCCGCGGCCACCAGCTGTCCCCCGTAGCAGAGGAGCCCCAACTTCAAGGCCAGCGCCGAGAACTGGGGACACCACAGGGAGGTCATCGCTGGGGGACACTGCTGGGGTGTGGGGGGGAACTAGCCCTGTCACCCTCCTCGCTGTGGCCACCTCTCCACAGGGACACCAAAGTCCCAGCCCTGCTCTGTCACCTCCCCTGTGCCATCATGTTCCCCCATGTCCCCGGGGTGTCACATCCCCCGTGTCACCCCACAGCCCCTGCACTGTCATGCCCCCTGTGTCCTGATGTCGCCATGTCCCCATGACCCCCAGCCCCATGCCACCGTGTCCCCATGTCCCCCAGCCCCATGCCACTGTGTCCCCGTGTCCCCCAGCCCCATGCCACCATGTCCCTGTGTCCCCTAGCCTCCACACCATCATGTCCCTTAGCCACATATCACTGCACCCACCTCCCCCATGTCCCCTGTCCCCATGCCACCCCATCCTCACGTCCCCCAGCCCCGAGCCACCGTGTCCCCATGTCCCCCAGCCCCATGCCACAGTGTCCCCATGCCCCCCAGCCCCGAGCCACCGTGTCCCCATGTCCCCCAGCCCCATGCCACCATGCCCCATCACCCCCGTGCCATCCCATCTCCCAGCCCCCTGCCACCCCATCCCCATGTCCCCTGTCCCCCCTACCATCTCCATCCCCGGGTCCCCCAGCCCCCCTGGCTCCTGTCCCCCTACCCCGCTGGCCCAGAGGGTGCTGGCATAGGTGGCCGCCACCTTCCCCTCCAGCTGGAGGAGGTGACGCAGGCGCTGGTGGTACCACTTGGCCGCCCCGGCCTCGTGGGCGAAGCTGCGGATGGTGGTCATGGCTTGGAAGGTCTCCACTGCCACCTTGGTGGCACCCGCCAGCGCGTCCTGCACCTGCTGTGACAGCCCCTGGGGACAGCGGTGTCACCTCAGGGCCCGTGGGTACACAAGGATGGGGGGGGGACACGACAGGCAGGGGGAGCAGGGAGGGGATGGTGGGGATAGGGAGGGGACAGTGGGCATGGGGAGGGGACAAGGGGTGCATGGAGGGGACAAGGGACATGGGGAGGGGACATGGAGGGGATGGTGAGCATGGGGAGGGGACAAGGGGTGCATGGAGGGGACAAGTGACGTGGAGGGGACAGTGGGCACGGGGAGGGGATGAGGAGCATGGGGAGGGGACAAGGGGTACATGGAGGGGACATGGAGGTGACAGTGGGCATGGGGGTGTGACAAGGGGTGCAGGGAGGGGACGGTGGGCACGGGGAGAGGACAGTGGGTGCACGGAGGGGACAGGGGGCACATAGAGGGGCTGGCGGGCATGTGGTGGGGGACAAGGGACCCGTGTCGTGTGTGTGTGTCCCCCTCCCCGGTACCTGCTGGATCTTGCTGATGCCCCAGGGCAGCAGCAGGAGGACGGGCAGTGACAGGAGGGTGACAAAGGCCAGGTGGGGTGACAACCACGCCATGGTGACCAGGAGGCATGCGCCCCGCGCCAGGTACCACAGCAGGAGGCTGAGCGCCTCGGCCACCGCCTCGTGGGTGGCCTCCACGTCCCCTGTCACCCGCGCTGTCACCTCCCCGGTCCCCATCACCCGCAGGGAGGTGACATCCCGCCGCAGGACGGCGGCGAAGACGCGGCGCTGGAGACGTCCCAGCGCCCGGCTCAGCGTCCCCGTGTAGGTGACGTCGCAGGTGAATTCGGTGACGGCGCTGCGGTGGTGGCACCAGGGTGGCTTTAGTAGGGTGGGGAGGGGACACGTGTGTCACCCCCCCCCCATCGGTGTCACCGTCCTACCTGCTGAGCCCCAGCAGTGCCATGGGCCAGGCGGCCGCCAGCTCGTCCTCACTGGCCACCCAGTCGGTGACCCGCCCCGTGAAGTAGGGGACGGCCACCTCCCCTGCGGGGGGGGGACGGGACACATCAGGGTGACAGGGCCCCCCCCGGGTCTACATCACCCCCCCCCATCCTGGGGGGGGAACCCCACAGTGGGACCTTGAGGGGCTGGTGATGCACCCATCCCCCTCCCGTCCCAATGGGTGCTGCTCTCCCCCCTCCTCAGCTCAGAGCAACCCCCACTGGGTGATGCCCCCCCCCCCCCAATTTGAGTGCTGGCCCCCTCAAAGCTTAAAGCATCCCCCTCCCCTCGAGTACTGCCCCCCAAAATTGAGTGCTGCACCTCCCATGCTGGGTGCTGCCCCCCCCCCCCGCCAAAGTTCAGAGCACCACCCACTGGGTGCTGCCCCCCCCCACCCCTACCCCCAGGTCATAGCACACCCCGCCTTGGGTGCTGCTCCCCCAAAAAAGCTCAGAGCATTCCCCCCTCCCCAAGCCGGGTGCTGCCCCCCTGAAAACTGGGTGCTGCCCGCCCCCCACCCCCGCTCATCACATCCCCCTCACTGGGTACTGCCCCCCCCAGATGGGTGTTACCCCCCCCCCCAAAGCTCAGAGCATCCCCCCCGCCTCGGGTAATGCCCCCCCCCACCAAAGCTGGGTGCTGCCCCTCCCAAAAGCTCAGAGCATCTCTTCCCACTGGGTGCTGCCCCGACCACCCCGGCTCAGAAAATCCCGCCCCCCCCCCAATTGGATGCAGCCCCCCCCCTCCAGCTCGAAGAACCCAACCCCCCCCCCAAGTTGGGTGCTGCTACCCCCCAAATTTGGGTGCTGCCCCCACCCACCCCCCGGCTCAGAGAATCCCCCTGCCTCAAAGTTGGGTGCTGCCCCCTCGCCCCAAAACTGAAAGCACCTGCTCCCCCCCCGGGTGCTTCCCCCCCCCCCAAAGTTGGGTCCTCCCCCCCCCAAATTGGGTGCTGCCCCCCCCGGTACCGAGGACCGAGGTCGCCATCAGCGCCGCCATCCCCACGCAGCGCCGGCGCTCGGGGCTCAGCAAGGCCAGGAGCCGGCGGGCGGGGGTCGCCCCCATCGTTCGGCCCGGACCCCCGGTCACGGTCACGGACACGGACACGGACACGGACACGGACACGGACACGGACACGGACACGGACACGATCCCTCCCGGCAACCGCCGCCGTTTCTCGGAAAATGAAACCCAGCGCGGGGGGTGGGACCGGCGGCGGCTGCGCATCGGCTGGTCCCGGTGTGGGGGGGCACGGGACGGGACACGCGTGGGGCACACCGGGCACCGGGCGGGGGGAACCGGGCACTGTGGGTGGGGTCCTGCGGGTACCGGGCACTAAAGAGGAGGGTCCCGGGTCCAGTCGGGGAGGAGGGGGACCCCCCACCCCGCCGTGTCGCTGTCGGAGGGATTGGGAGGGGCAAGAGCCGGGAGGTCGGCGCTGATTGGCCGAGGCGGCGGCATCATCAGTTGCCGGGCAGATGGAGCTGGAGAGGTTTGAACCAGGGCGTGCCGCGGGGAGGGGGCGGGGCGAGGGAAGGGGCGGGGGCGAGCCGATGAGTGGGCGGGGCGATGGGCGGAGGGGCGGGGCGAGGGGCGGATGGGGCGGTGAGATGGGCGGGCGGGGGCGTGGCGAGTGGCGGAGTGGGCGTGGCCGAGGAAGCGAAAGCAAGAAGCGGCGCGGTGGGTCTGGGCTGGGGGTTACTGGGGGGGGGGGGGGGGGGGGGGGCTGTACTGGGAGCACTGGGTGAGCCCCAGGGTGCCGGGAGGGGCTGAGGAGCGGTCCAGGGGAGCCGAGGGGGCAGGACTGGGAGCACTGGTGTGGACTGGTGAGCACCCCAGGGTGCTGGGTGGGGTCCAGGGGAGCTGAGGGGGCAGCACTGGGAGCACTGGTGTGGACTGGTGAGCACCCCAGGGTGCTGGGTGGGGTCCAGGGGAGCCGAGGGGGCTGGACTGGGAGCACTGGTGTGGACTGGTGAGCACCCCAGGGTGCTGGGTGGGGTCCAGGGGAGCTGAGGGGGCAGCACTGGGAGCACTGGTGTGGACTGGTGAGCACCCCAGGGTGCTGGGTGGGGTCCAGGGGAGCCGAGGGGGCAGGACTGGGAGCACTGGTGTGGACTGGTGAGCACCCCAGGGTGCTGGGTGGGGTCCAGGGGAGCCGAGGGGGCTGGACTGGGAGCACTGGTGTGGACTGGTGAGCACCCCAGGGTGCTGGGTGGGGTCCAGGGGAGCCGAGGGGGCAGGACTGGGAGCACTGGTGTTGACCGGCGAGCTCCCTAGGGTGCTGGGCGCTGTCCGGAGGAGCTGCGCTGGGAGCACTGGTCTTCACTGGTGAGCACCCGCGGCCATGGCGCCGCTCGCCGCCGTCTGCCTGCCCTGCCTCCTTCTCCTGGTTGACCTGGCAGTGCTGGCGGTGCTGGCCCCGTTGGCCCCGGCACTGGCCCCCTTGGGCCCGTTGGCCGCCTGGCTGGAGGCCGCGCTGCGGCTGCCGGCGTTCACCGCGGCCACGCGGCTCCTGGCGCCGGGGGGTCCCCGCGGAGCCGCCGTCGTCCTCGGCCTCACCCCCGCCACCTTCCTCACCCTCCGGAGCCTCTTCGCCCCGCACGCCGCCGCGCCGGTGCTGCTGGCCACGGCCTCGCCGCTCTGGTTGGCCACGACCCACGGCGTGGCCGCCGCGGTGCTGCTGCTCTGGGCCGCGCCAGCGCCCAGCGGGGACGTGCCCGGCAAGTCGCCGGTGGCCGTCAGGCGCCTCTTGACCTTGGCGTTGGACGAGTGGCCCGTCCTTGGCGGCGCCTTCTTCTTCCTGACGTTGGCCGTGTTGGGTGAGTGATGGCCAACGGCGGGGTTGAGGAGGGGCGGGGGGGTCCCGGTGTTGCAGCGGTGGCGGCACTGGCCCCCTCCCCAAAACCGGCGCCGTTGCAGGTGAGACCGCGGGGCCGTATTGCACCGGCAAAGCCCTGGACGCCGTCCGGAACGGGGATGGACCCACCGCTGTCACCGTTGGCCTGGTTCTTGCCGCCGACTTGGGCAGGTGGGGGTCCCTGTGTCCCCGTTGGCCGTCAGTCTGTCCCCCATGGCTGTGCTGACCATGTGTCCACATGTCCCTGTGTCCATCTGTCCACGTGTCATGTCCCCCCCCCCAGCTCGTTCTTTGCCGGTTGCCGCGGGGGTCTCTTTGTCTTTGCGCAAGCCCGGCTCAAACTGAGCACCCGCCACCAGCTCTTCTCCCGCCTGGTGCGCCAGGACCTGGCCTTCTTCCAGGGGACACCAGCAGGTAGGGGGTGGTCCCCATCGCCCCCCAAATCCCACCCCAGGACCCCCAAACCCCTCCCCCCAGCTGACCCCTCACCATCCCTGCAGCCGAGTTGTCTGCCCGGTTGGCCAACGACGTGCCTTTGCTGTGCCAAGCGGTGCCGACCAGCGCCAACGTGGCGTTGAGGAGCTTGGGGATGGCGTTGGGGTTGGGGGGCTTCATGGGGGGGATCTCGCCCCACCTGGCGCTGCTGGCGCTGCTGGAGGTGCCCCTCATCATCACCGTGCGCAAGGTCTACGATGCCCGGTACCAGGTGACGAAGGGGACGAGGTGGGACGGGACAAGGGGGACAGGATGGTGGAATGGTGGGAAGGGGATGGAGACCAGGGGGTTGGGAATTGTGGGGATGGGATGGGGACAGGATGGTGGGATGAGACCAGGGAGATGGGATGGGATGGTGGGATGGGGACTGGGTGGGGCGGGATGGAGAGCGGGGGAACGGGGATGGTGGGGATGGGATGGGGTGGGACAACGGGGACAAGGTGGGGATGGGGACAGGATGGGGATGGTGGGGATGGGACGGGCACCAGGGGAACAGGATCGTGGGAATGGGATGGGATGTTGGGATGGGATGAGATGGTGGGGATGGCAGGATGGGGATGGGGGGACTGGATGGTGGTGGGGTAGGGGCAGTGGGGGTGGGATGGTGGGGTCAGCAGGGATGGGGACAGTGGCGTGGGGACCTTGGGGACACACAGACCGAGGTTTGGGGTTGGTGGGAGGGGATGGGCTGGGCCAGGCGGGTGGGGGGGTCCCGTTGTCACCCTGTGGGTGCTGAACCCAGCCCCGCCGCCCCCCCAGGTGCTGCAGCGAGCCACGCTGGACGCCACGGCCAAGACGTCGGCGGTGGTGCAGGAGGCCGTCGCCTCCATTGAGACGGTGCGGACCTTCGCTGGGGAGGAGGAGGAGGAGCGCCGCCACAGCCAGGCAGTGGCCGAGATGCTGAGGCTGAAGAACCAGATGAACGTGGAGCGGGCGCTCTTCGTCCTCATCCAGCGGGTGAGGCGGGTGCAGGAGGGACCCCGGTGTTCGGGGCCCCCCCCTCACCACCCCGTTGACCCCCTCCCTGTCCCTGCAGGTGCTGCACGTGGCCGTGCAGGTGTTGGTGCTTTGCCACGGGCACCAGCAGCTCCGCGAAGGGGCCATCACCACCGGCAGCCTCGTCACCTTCCTCCTCTACCAGGCTAAAGTCAGCCGCTGCGTGCAGGTGAGACCCCGCCACGCGGGGGTCCGTTCCCGTGTCCGGCCGTCCCTGGGGCCAGCGCCTCTGCCCCACGCAGGCGCTGGTGTTCGGCCACGGGGATTTGCTGAGCAAGGCGGCGGCCAGCCGGAAGGTCTTGGACTACCTGGACCGGGAGCCCACGGGGGACAGAGGCGGCACCCACGCGCCTGCCACGCTGCGGGGCCACGTCACCTTCCGACACGTCTCCTTCGCCTACCCCGCGCGCCCCGAGCACCTCGTGCTGCAGGTGCAGTCAGGGGACTCAAGGGGTCCCCAAGGAGGGGAGGGGGTGTCCCTGAGTACCCACTGCCCCATCCTGCCCCCTCTCCCCCACACCCCACCCTGTCCAGGGCGTCTCCTTCGAGCTGCACCCCGGCGAGGTGACGGTGTTGGCGGGACTCAACGGCAGTGGGAAAAGCACCTGCGCGGCGCTGCTGGAGCGGTTCTACGAGCCCGGGGCCGGGGAGGTGCTGCTGGACGAGGTCCCGCTGCGGGACTACGAGCACCGTTACCTGCACCGCAAGGTGGGGGCAGCAGCGGGCGGGCGGGCAGCACAACTGCGCCGAGCGGTGCCCGGTCTCAGCCTGTACCTTGGGCGGGGGGGGGCAGGTGGCATTGGTGGGGCAGGAGCCCGTGCTTTTCTCCGGGACGATCCGAGACAACATTGCCTTCGGGCTTGAAGGTTGCGGGGAGGAGGAGGTGAGGGCGGCCGCTGACGCCGCCGGTGCCCTGCCCTTCATCTCGGCACTGGAACAGGGTTTCGATACCGGTGAGTGCTGGGGGGGACTGGCAGGGGGACCCCAAGTCACCCAGGTCCCGCTCAACCCCCAGCCTTTCATCCTACAGATGTGGGGGAGAAAGGGGGGCAGCTCTCGGCAGGGGAGAAGCAGCGCATCGCCATCGCCCGGGCCCTGGTGCGCCGACCCACCGTCCTCATCCTCGATGAAGCCACCAGCGCCTTGGACACGGAGGGCGAGGTGGCGGTGAGCAGCGGGGGGAGTGGGGATGGGGGGGTGGTTCCAGCCCCACAGCGGGTGCTGAGGGGTGCCGGTATCTCCCACAGCTGCAGCAGTGGGTGAGGAGCTGGGGGGCCCGGACGGTGCTACTCATCACCCACTGCCCGCGGATGCTGGAGGCGGCCGATCGCGTGATCATTCTGGAACGTGGCGCCGTGGTCGCAATGGGGACCCCCGCCGAGCTGCGGGGCCGCCGGGGGCCCTACAGCCGCCTGCTGCAGCGTTCCCCAGGCGTGGGGCAGCCAGAGACCCCGGGGGTGGGCTGCGGGGAGCGGCAGCCGGCGGGGCAGTAGGAGGGGGCTGCTCCCATCCGGATGAGGAATTGTGTGAAATAAAGCAGAATTGTGTCAGCGAGGAGCCGGCTGGGTTGTGGGGGCCAGGGTGGAGCCGCCCAGCCTGGCCATGGGGTCCTGGGTGCCAAAGCCCCCCACTCGCCCTCGGGTTGTGGCCGCTGCCGTGGGAAGCGCGTGGCGCTCGCCGCGGTGTGAGATAATGAATCTGCTGCCTCCCCCTCGTGACGTCGCAGCCGAGGTCCTTCCCGCCCCAGGGGCTTCACGCGCTCGACTCCGGCACATCCTTCACGTCGATGAAGGACCTGTGCGATGGCCGCGGAGCTCAGGTCGGGTCCCTCCCTCCACCATGAGCCCAGCCCCACGTTGTGTCTCCCTCCCGCTGCCCCACCGAGCTGCGACCAGCTCCCGACGGCGTTCCCGCTCCAGGACTACCCCAGCCACGCTGATTTTTTTGCCGCCTGGGCCTCTTGCTCCTTGTGCTGATGGTCTCCGGGGCCGTGGCGCTTGGACGTCCCCACGCTGGGGCTCTACCCAGGCAGCGAGGTCCCGCTGCCAGAACGCAGCAGCCCAGGGGGGTTCACCTCTGCCACCAGCGCTGTAGCCACCCCCGCAGGGCACTGGCCACCCTCGACAACTCACTACGGCGACAGAGCCCTGGCCATGTCTCGTGGGCAGCAATCTCCGGGGCCGGCTGGGCGGCTTTGACGGCTGCAGCTTCCTCGGAAGAGGAGAGACGGAGAGAGATTCTTCCCCAGGGCCGGTAGTGACAGGACAAGGGCTGGGGCTTGAAAGAGGAAGACGGGAGATGGAGACTGGACATAAGAAATGCTGGATGGCGGGGGGGAGGTGATGGACCGGGTGGTCCCGAGGTGCTGAGGATGCCCCATCACAGGGAGGGGTCAAGCTCAGGTTGGACAGGACCTTTCAGCAACCTGATCTGCTGAAAGATGGTCCCTTTTGAGGCCACCGCACCCGTCTCCCCCTTTCCTCGGCCCAGCCAGGGGCAGGACCCCTCGTCCTCATCGCAGCACCCGTTACCCGACGGCTGCAATCACAAAGAACCCTTTTCACCCCGAGAGGAGCCCGCGTCTCTCTCGCCCCGTCTGCGTTGCAAGGATGGGCACAGGCACGACCCTGCTGGGGTCTGGCACTGTCCTTCCGTGGGGTGCGGTGTGAGGTCCGACCCCGTGGGGCCACACGTCCCCGGGACCAGCATCAGAGGGAGAAGAGGCGTCCTCAGCCATTCCAGCGCGCCCGGGGAATTGCTCGCCGGCAGCCGGAGCGGCGATCTTCCCGGAGGGTCCCTCTTCAGCCACCGTTTTCCCCCCCAGTTCTTGCCCCCGAGCTCCCAGGCCCGTCCCCCTTGCGCCTGTCCTCCCCGTGCTCATGCAGGCAGAGCCCTGCCAGGGGGCACGCGGTGTGCGCCCACGGTCCCCGTAGCCTTGAGCGGGCTCCCGCTAGCCCAGGTGCTGGCCCGCAGCGCAAGGAGGGCGACCGCCCCCTTCTCTTCCAGCGGCCTTGGGGAACGGCCTGTCCCCAGCCGAGACAACGGCCGGGGTGGGGCGGGCGAGCCGAGGCTCCCCCGGCATCGCTGGGGCTGGCAGAGCAGCCCCCGCACAGCCGGCGCCTCGAGGGTGCCCCGTCCGCCACGGCCGGGCTGCTGGTGCCCGTCGGTGCGCCCCGTGCAGAAGCCGCCGGACAGACCGTGCGCGCTGGCGGCCGCCCCGAGCTGTGGGGCCCCAGCACTCTCCCGGTGGCCGCAGGCCACCGCGAACGCCCTCAGGAGCCGGACCCCTTCCTCTCTGGGAGAACACTTCCCCGCTGGCTTACAGATCTTCCTGGAGACCGTCCCTGCCTTCGCGCCCAGTGAGGGCCACCTCGTGCAGGAGGGCTTCTTCTCAACGAGCGCCTCCACGGCTTTGGGGCAGGAGACTTTTACGCTCGTTCGCCAGACCAGCCCTTGCTGTCGTGCTTCACTGCCTTTATTGCCTCCAGTGATGGTCTCGTCCCACAATAAATCACCTACTTCGCGCCACCCCTGTTGGCTAAATATTAGCGAGGGGCCATCGTCCCTCTGCCCCTCCGCCTCTGAGGTGGGGGGGGTGGGGGGCATGGCTGTAAGGGCACTGGGGGGGGGCTGGCCTCCAGACTTCCCCTCCTTATGTTAACTGAAACCAGCACTCCTGTTGATGGTACAGGAATACGATCACTGTCAAAGAGCATAGGTCCGGATGCCTCACTATCTGGGGTAACAGTGGAACTTTCCCCCCCCCCCTTTGTAGTTGCCACAGCTGCAAGGGTCTTTTCAAGCTGATACCACTTAATATTATTCACCACGTCCCGCCACGGTTTCACCATTTTCCTTGCAGCTTTATCCTCGTCAATTACCATATCCTACAAAATATCACCTAATCGTCTCCACTCCTCGACATCAAAAAGAGAATTAGGATCTTGAAAACATCCTTTGACCCGTCCTAACGGTACTAAACCCACGAGTGATTTTATACAATCCACTCCCCGCTTTTCTAAAAAGCGCTGTAACAAATCCAGGGCTACCTCCTGTTCCATCTCGTCAACCTGGTGCTCCTTGATTAAGGCACCTCCGGTCCTGTGCTCCCTGGATAAGGCACAGTACCGTTACCACCGACCCACCCCTGATTAAGGCACCGTCAGCCTTGTGCTCCTTGATTAAGGCAAAGAAATACCCCCATCGGCCCTGTGCTCGTTGACTAAGGCACAGAAATGCCCCCGCCGGCCATGTGCTCCCTGTTTAAGGCACAAAAATACCCCCTTACTTCGATATGTTGCTGATGCTCCGTGATTAAGGCACCAGGTGCAGCTCTTGCCAGCAGCCCTTGCAGACAGCGACCCTCTATCTCGGTTCAGGTCCTCGGAACGACCCGTCGGAGATCCACTGTTCGATCATTCTTCAGCCCCCGGGCGCTGCTGTATTTGGTGTTTCTCTGGGTCCGTTCTCGAATTCCTCGGTCGTTGCTGTTTCTCCGGGTCCGCCGCTCCATCCGTGTTCTTCTTCTATGCAGGACGAACGACACGCCGAGACGGGTTCAGTGTGGGTGATAGAGCATCAATCACCGTGTGTGTTTATTGATCCAGGGTACATATATTTATACAGACAACGCTAATTATTATGCCTACTAGTCACTAGCTGATTGGCTTAAGCTCTAAAGGTCGTATTCGCATGGTCCACCTACTTGCAGTTAGCTAACAGCACAAGCTGCTCATAACACCGAGTTTCTCAGGCCACTATTTCTAATTCCTCTTGACTTGTTTTCGATACACAACAGTACCGTAACACAATGTTTCTCAGACCACTGTTACCATAACACTAGGTTTATCAGACCACTATTCCTAATTCCCCTTAACCTGTTTTCGACACACCACGGTACACAGGGCTGAAGCGTCCTTGACATTCCTCCTGTATCAGCAGCTGCGAGCAGCTGCAGGCAAACCCTAGTGAGGCTCAGCATCAGCAGCCAGAGCAGGCTCTGATCGTACAACTGCTCGGTGGGCTCAGGACCCTTGTCTCTGAGCCATTCTCCAACAGGCCACCTCGTGCAGGAGGGCTTCTTCTCAACGAGCGCCTCCACGGCTTTGGGGCAGGAGACCTTTTTCTCGGTGCCCGCTTATGCACCTTCGTATCAGGAGACCGTCTTCTCAGCGCCCATCTACACGGCCTCAGAGCAGGACAACTTCTGGGGCTTCAGAGCAGGCTTTCACCTTGGTGTCTGCCCGCAACCCATCCCAGCAGAAGACTTTATTTTCAGGGCTAGTCTGAGCAGCTTTAGACCAGGAGATCTTTTCAGCACCTGACTGTGGGGCCCCGAAGCAGGAGACTCTCCTTCTTGGCGTCTGTCTACAACCCTTCAGCCCAGGAGATCTTCTCAGCACACGTCTGCGTGTTCTCAGAGCTCACCACCTCCGTCGCAGCACCACTGGTACTCAGCCAGGTCCTGGGGAAAAGCTGCCAGGCACCCTCAACACCTCTTCTCCCTCTGTGGCGTCCAGGACGACACGATGTGCCCTGGAGTACCTCTCGGTAGGTTGGGTCGCCTGCCTGGTTGTGGCCCCTCTCAGCCTCCTCCGCACCCCCCGTCTGTTCACCGGGGCACCCGAAGGAGAAACAGAGACGGCCTTGACGCGGTGCCAAGGCTGCTCAGATCCATCGCTGTGTTACCAGCACCACTGCGGTCCCAAATCCTGCACACTGCGCCGCGTCGGGCTGCGATGAAGAAAATCAAACCTCTCCCAGCCCAAACCAGCCCAGCCCCGACCCAAGAATGCGAGAACAGCCCAGGCACGGGGGGAGGAGGCACAGCCTGCACGGGGGGGGACTCAGAATTTATTCTGTGCGAAGCAAAAGCAATCGGTTACGACCTCAAAGTTCAAGCTCCTTGGCAATAACTGCAGTGCTCGATTTCCAAAGGATCAGCAAAAAGGAAGGCCACCAGCCAGAAGAGCCACCACCGCAGCCGCGGCCTCCCTCTGCGTCCAGCCGCTGAGAGGGCGGGGGGCCGCACCCAGCCACGCGCCGGCCCCTCGCCGAGCGCTCAGACGGTCATTCCTGCGGGGACAGGGGACAGCGTCACCCAGGGACCCCTCCCGGCCCCCAACCCACTGCTCTGGAGTTCTCCGTGTCCCCCTCCCACAGCCCCGTGCTGCCCCAGCTGCCGGTCCCACGGGGGAGCACAGAGAGCTGGGGCCGCCCCGTCCATCGCCCCTGCTCCCACGCCGTACCTGCGACCAACTTGCCGGACCCCTCGTCCGAGCCTGTGGGAGAGAAACAGCCGTGAGCTGCCGGCCCCGGGCTCGCTACGGGCACTGGCCACGGGCCAGGAGCCGGCCGGGGGCCACGGGCCAGGAGCCGGCCGGGGGCCACGGGCCAGGAGCCGGCCGGGGGCCACGGGCCAGGAGCCGGCCGGGGGCCACGGCCACGCTGCAGCCCTGCGAGAGCAGGACGGCCGCCAGCTCCACCCAACCCTGGGCCCAGCGCGGCTGAGCACCTTCTGCAGCCATCGGGACGACGGCACCAAGCGTTCCCTG